GTTGTTGGTTCGGGTGTTGTTGATGTTGTTGATGGGGTTGTTGGTTCGGGTGTTGTTGATGGTGTTGATGGCGTTGTTGATGGTGTTGTTGATGGGGTTGATGGGGTTGTTGATGGGGTTGATGGGGTTGTTGGTTCGGGTGTTGTTGATGTTGTTGATGGGGTTGTTGGTTCGGGTGTTGTTGATGTTGTTGATGGNTGGCCCTTGGGTTGATGATGTTGGCCCTTGGGTTGATGATGTTGGCCCTTGGGTTGATGATGTTGGCCCTTGGGTTGATGATGTTGGCCCTTGGGTTGATGATGTTGGTCCTTGGGTTGATGGGGTTGTTGATGGGGTTGATGGGGTTGTTGATATTGTTGATATGGTTGTTGGTTCGGGTGTTGTTGATGTTGTTGAAAGCGTTGTTGGTTCGGGTGTTGTTGATGTTGTTGATGGCGTTGTTGGTTCGGGTGTTGTTGATGTTGTTGATGGTGTTGTTGATGTTGTCATAGATTTGATGATTTCATCAGCTCGGTTCAATAATGATTTAAATTTCTTGAACATTGTCAACAATTCTAATTCTAAATGAGCAATTTTGATCGGGTTATGTGCATTTTCTAACTCCTCTTTGTAATGTTTCATATGAGCCAGTTTGGCTGCAATTTCATCTTTTAATTCAGAATCGGGCAACAATTCCATTACATGATCGCCTTTTTTTATTAGTTCATCGGCTTGTCTCAAGACATCGTCTCGATTATCTCGTTTAAATCGTGGATTTGCTTCAACTATTTTCCGAATGGGTTGTCAATGAAGAATAAGCAATGTTACTCGCAAATAATGAAGAATTTAAAAAAAACTACCTACCCAAAATACTAGCCAAGTTCAATGTTAGAATCAACAATAATGATACCGTAAATTTCATTTTGTTCGTTTGTGGATTTTCGGTTTATTTCAAAATTTCGTACAGTATCAAAACAATCGCGACAATAATTTTAAAATTGAAAGGAATTGTAATTAGAATATATAGCAATGAAAAAAGTCAATTGATCAATCGGTTGTATTCTTTTGATATACTTGAAATTTTTAATTAATTGAAAATCAAGGATGTCTTGGTTTTTATGAGAAATTTATTGATTGTTCAATGTGATTGTGAAAAAAAACTGTAATTGGCTTAAATGAACGCATTGCAAATCGATATAATTTTAAGCGATTAAAAGGATCCTCATCCTCAGATATCCATACTTGAAACAAAAATTACCTTAGTTAGATTTTTAAAATTAGATTGATTTCTTAAAATAAGGTCATATTAATTAGAGCGAATTCTCAACAAACATTTGGATGAGATCAACTATGTACGTTATCATCATATAAAAATACATTATATCCGTATTGCTAATTTTTGTCTGGTTATTTTATTAATTTTTGAATATTTAATTTTTTTTTGATCATTATCATTACAAATGAATTCATATTTATTTTGAACTTCCTTTCCTACTAATTCCACTGGTTGATATTGACGTATATCGATTACTAGCACTTCGTTTTGATTTTAGTTTCAATGTTGTTTTTCGTGATGAAATTCTTGATCTACCAGCATCATTTGATCGTTTGTGACTTGAATTCGCTTGACTATTCTGTATTCGGCTTATGCCTGAACGTCTTTTTCCATATTTACTACTATAAATAGATTTTATTAATATTAGTCTTGAATCTTGTTTACAGCAACAACAATAACATATTGATAGAAAAATCGCAGTGATAACAGTAGATAATATTATATAAATGATAGCTTTTAAACAACACAATACAAAAATATTAATCAAATTAATTGAATGAAATTAAAATGAAATAAAAACTCACATTTTATTCCAGTTGAAGGTTCAGTTGGTTCTAAAGAGGATGATGTTGTTGTGTGATCTGTTTCTGTTGTCGATTTCGTATGCAAATTTGTTCCTGTTGTGAGAGATGATGGATTAGTGAATTTTGTTGTTTTGGTAACAGCACTGGGGCTTGTTTTTGTTGTAATTGGAAAAGCTGTAACTGTTGTCGTTTTAATTTCTGATGAACCGATACAATTGAAAAATGATTGATAAGAATGACTTTTAAATGGATATGATTCTTCTTTACTATTATAAACATCTTCATTAAACGAATATATCGAATCCCTTGCAAATAAATAAAATCGGCCGTTCGCAACAAAACCTTTCATCACAGACCATTTGACTGGCTTACTGCAAGTTTTAAATAAAGATTGTTCTATTATTCGAATCTGATTTGGATCAGCATTATCGTAACAAAGTGAACGAAATTCAGTTATAATTAGGTGGGTTTTATCTTGTATTGTAGAATCTGATGTACTATAAGCTGCTATTTGTAATGATGGATCGCTTTCACTTTGATTTTTTATCGTATAAAAATATCCAGGCCTGGTAGTAGAAATTGTTATTTCATTAAAACGATTGGTTAAACGCCAGCCGACAATTATTCGAGAATGGGACAGATCATAACAAAGTCCGAAAGATGGATATACTAGTTTCCATGTGATTAAACAAAGCCAATCACTATAACTATCGATTAATGTTACAGTGTTGTACGTATACTGTTTAATATTTTTCATTTGTTTACTATTATAAAGTTTTGGATATTGATCCGACATTGGTACTGATTTTTTTCGTAAATATAACGTATTTATCGCCATGTCCATTGATTCACGATTGATTAAATAGACATTATAATCTCTGGTCACTAATAACATATTCGTACGAATCATTCCAATGGCCAAAATATTTAGATCATCGCTGCCATTATAGCCTGCTAATGTTTTCACACAAACCTCCTGTTTTGAAATTTTACCATCAAATAAAGAAATCATTATTTTTAAGTTGATTTGCTCTACGAGAAAAATCTTACATCTATGTCCGCAGTCTTGATCATAAAATTGATCGATAATATTACCAAAACCATCTGTATTTCCGCGTATTGGATCATAATAGATCTAAATGCCATGGTGAACGCCAACAAGATGGAATCAAACTCGTTTCGCTTTAATTGGTGAAAGATTTTTATATACATTTTATTATTAGTTCGAAAAAATCTCTATTTTATTAGATTTATAATTAGATTTATTCGAATTGAATACAATTGTTTCGAATTGATTCGGAAATGAAATATCTGATTTAGTTTTTAATATTATTTATTTGATTGTTGTAGATTTTATTTCTCAACCAATCTAAATACTTAAAAATGATGAAAAAACATGTAACATGAAAATTATGGGACCATTTCTTTTGGAATTTCGGATTTTGTTTTGAGTATTTGTGATTGAGATTTGGCCAATTTTGTGCACACAGCAATCGATTTTGATCTATTCCTTATAAATGAGCCTTTAGGTTTTAAAGTAGAATCACTTTTTTCAACCCTGGCCAATTGGCTTTTGATTTTTTTCTTACTTGAAGATGAAACGGCAGTAATTGATTGTTCATCAATAGTTTTTACAGATATTTTAGATTGAATATAACGGCTTCGTGTTAGAATTTGATTTGAATTATCAATTTTCCGTTTAAGATACATAATACAACATAAAACGCATGTAAAAATAATCAAAAGAAATATGATAACTGCTATAATCCAATAGATTACTTTGAATTTTAAAAAAGTCACATTAATCAATTGTAAAATCAAAAAATCAAAATTTTTGCTTACAGTTATTATGAGGTTCAATCGTAACCGGTGGAATTGTCGTTATTACTTCACATTTGAAAAAAGATGAATATGTTTGATTTTTAAACATTACTGATTTTTGCTGTATATCGTTTGAATCAGATAATACAGTTTCATCAAATGAATAAACATATGTATTACTAAATAGATAAAATTTTCCTCCCACATTAAGCCCATAGATTATATCAAATTGGACAGGATCATTACATGGTTCCTTTCTAAGTGAAATTTCTTGATGTTCATCATTGTCAAAGCAGAAATTTTGAAAATCTTTTATAATAATACGTTCGGTACTATTAGCAACGAATCCACTATCACATGCGAATGGGGCCATTTGAATCAAATATTGTTCATTAGGTAATGAAAAACGACGAATTGAATAAAAATAACATGGTTTAATTGATGATATAATTATCTCATTATTATAGGTATTGAATTTCCAGCCTATTAATAAACGATCAGATTTAATAGCATAATTAAGTCCAGGCATTTCATTTCCAGGATTATCCGGAACCACACAAAGCCATTCATCATAAGAATCAATTATTGTAAATGCATAAGTTTTATGTTGCTTGATAAGATGGAATCGGTAATCAGTGGTTAATGAAGGAAAATTATTTTGAATTTCAAATGATGAATTAGTAAAATTAAAACAATCATGGTTTGTGTCGAATTCGTTGAGTTTAATAAGATAATGAAAAAAATCTTTTGTAAACAATATTATATCGGTTCTGTTAAGACCGATGAAAGTGATGGTTTTATTAACATTGTGTAAATTTTCTGAAAAAGGCTAAATAAAAAATTGTGATTGAAAATCTCATTTGAAAAAATAATTTTTTAATTCTTACATCTTTACCGAATAGGGTTAGATTAAACATAGCATTCAAACTGAAAATAAATGATGAAGTTAAAAAAAATTTAATTACAATTGAATTCATTTTAATAAATATCACTTCAATGAGAATATTAAATAGGAAAATGTTCATTTGTCTATTTTTATTATAAAAATCGTATTTAAACAATTATAATTAGAAATTTTAAGTCCATTTTCATATTCATATTCGAACTATTTAAAATTCAATTTAATGTTTTTAATTTCATTAAAATTGTTCGAAAATTTCACTTTCACTACTGTTTGGTGAGTCTTGGAAGGAATTTCTGGCAGAGATTTCAATTCTGATGATCTTGTTTTATTGGTCAATAATGATGAAGTAGTATTCTCATTAGTAGTAGTAGTAGTTTTCGGTAATTTATTACTACTGGTTTCTTCAATATCCGTTGTTTGTTTTTGCTGTTTCGAATTAAATGTTGAAAGATTTTTTTTCGAAAAATTAGGGAAAATTGAATTTTTATAACGAATCAGCAAGGCAAGGCAGCATAGGGCGAGCAGCAATATGAACAAAATGATCATTATAATAAAACCATTTTTCGCTACAAAATACAAAATTCATCATTAGTAAAATACAAATTCCATTCATGATAAAAATGAGATTTTTTTACTCACCTAAAAAACTAGTTTCAGAACAGATGAAAAACGAAGACAATTTACGTTTCTCGATTGGTACAGCTTTATTGGCCTCGGAATAAGCATCTGCACTGAAAATTAGTACATAATTCTTTTCGAATAAATAGAAATGATTATTGGCTACAAAACCAGTTGTTATTGGCCATTTTACCGGATCGTTTTCACAGATTTCATCATAATTTTTGATGATAATCGTCTGCTTATGTTTATCGCCATAACAAATCAATCTAAATGTATTTTTTAGATCACAATTGCCCAAGAAAATACAATAATAAAGAGCTATTTCCAATCCATTTGTTGTGTTTGAATGATGTAAGGTATAAAATGTAGCATATTCGTCGGATGATATTGCTAGTTCTTTAAATTCTTGAGAGAAATGAATGCCTTCTTGTATTCCATGATTGATTAGATTGAATGTGAGGCCATTCACTCTCGTTTCTTTTTTCCATGGGGTTATAAAAAGCAAATCAGAGTCATCATTCTTCCTTATGAGTATGAATACAGTGAACGATTTTGTCTTAATTTTGTTGAAATCAGACGATTCAAAAAGAGTGGGAAATTTGACCGACATTGGTATAGGTGTTGCATTTAAATATAATTTATTGGTGCTTGAATCGAATGATTCTTTGGGCATTTCATATACATAAAAATTTCTTGTTATAAGCAGAAAATTCTTTCGAGTTAAACCTACTGCCAAAATGTTCAGCTCATTTGTACCTTGAGCTTCATCCTCATCCTTGGCAAGTGAATGACATATCTGATTCGATTCAGTTTCGTTAGTTGTATTGATGAATTCAATGGATAAAATTGACCATAAATAAACCCACCAAACGAAACGGATTGCGTAAAGTTTGATTAACATTGGCAATTTTCAACTGTTAAGTATTAAAATTATAACACCAATATACACTGGAATTCAAGAAAATAAACATTAAATCTTCTAGTAAAAAATAAATTATTAAAACAAATACTAAACTATTGTTCCATGATTGAATTTTAATTTAATGAAATTTAGAATCATTTACCATTGATTGATGAAAATCTTTACACTGATAAAAAATTCGATTGCGATATTATTGCGATATGATGAAAGCCTTATTCGATGAAATGAATGCTTATTTATATATGTGCAAATAATATTTCTAAAACATGATTCGTTCTGAAATGTTACTGATTGATTGAATATCTTAAATACCTGGATGATTTGTCAATCATCTAATGAATGTTGTAACCTAATGAATGGAATGAATGGATTTGAATCTAGTAAATAATTTCTGCTAAAATACTGCTAAATCATCAAGTAGTTTGGAGAGCTATGATCTTCATTTGCTTGATTGATAAATTACTTTATTCTAAATCATTACTACAATGCCATCAAGCGAACACGTAAAGATTACGTTGAATATTTGTCAATTTAAATGTTACATATGTAATTAATATTTCCAAAACATAATTTGTTCTGGAATGTTATTGATTGATGATCTGAATGTTTTGCCAATCATCTAATGAATGTAATGAATGGATTTGAATCAAGTGTATAAAAATCAACTAAAATTTCATTCGTAAGCCAATTATGAGTTTTAAAAATTACATTCGAATTATTTGAAGTTTATTTTGGTTTGTTTATGATTTTTCGAAATTTTAAATTTGTATTTTAATACTGCTTGTTTAGGGAAGAATGGAGAGTTCAATTCTAATGATCTTGTTGTCGGCATTAATTTGATGCGACTGAATGGAATATTTTTTGATGTGGATCGAGAATCGGTCATTAATGATGAACGAATAGTTGCAGTTTCCGTAAATTTACTAGTACCAGGAATGCCCGCTCTTCGTTTGCGCTGTTTCAAATCCAATGAAGAACGAATTGTTTTTCCAAAATCTTGATCAAAAGTTTTATGATTTTCAACACGAATCAATAAAAGACAAATTAGTATAAACAGCGATGCAAACAAAATGATTAAGATGATTATCAGAATAGACCGATTTTTCGCTAAATAATGCCAAATTCATCATCATTAGTAAAATGCAATTACAATCATGTTATAAATGAAAATTCTTTTAAACTTACTTAGAAAATTTTCGGCTAGGGATGATCCAGGACATATGAAAAACGAAGAATATTTGCTTTTTTCAATTGATACAGCTTTATTGGGTTTCATATAAGCATCTTCACTAAAAATTTGTGTGTTATTCTTTTCAAATAGATAGAAACGATCACCAGCCACAAAACCATTCATTATTGGCCATTTTACCGGATGATTTTCGCACATTTCACCATACTTTTTGATAATCAGCGTCTGTTTTTGTTCATCGCCATAACAAATCACTCTATATGGATTTGTTAGGTTGATACTAACGTCAGAATCGCTGTATGTATAAGTAGCAATTTCCAATCCATTAGTTTTTTGCGAATAACGTAATGAATAAAACATAGAATGTTTGTCGGTTGATATAAGTAATTCTTTTTGATCACCAAGGAAATAAAAGCCTGATTGAACTTTATCGTTAATTAGATCATATTTGATGCCTGCCTCGTCTGTTTCTTTATCCCATGTTGTTATACAAAGCCAATCCGTTTTATTATCAATGAGTATGAATGCGTTGAATAATTCTTTCTTAATGCTGTTGAACTCTGACGAGTTAAAAAGAACGGGATATTTAACCGACAATGGTGTTGGCGTAGCATTTAAATATAATCTATTAATGCTTGAATCGAGTGAATCTTTAGGCAATTCATATACATAAAAATCTCTTGTTATAAGCAATAGATGTTTTCGAGTTAAACCCACCGCCAAAATATTTAGTTCCTTTCCAACTCGATCAACTTCATCGTCATCAGTGGCAAGTGAATGACATATCTGGTTTGATTCAGTTTTATCAGCTGTATAGATGAAATCGATTGATAGAATTGACCATAAATACACCGACCAAACGAAACGAATTATTCCATGTTCGATTAACATTAGCAATTTTTAACTGTTAAGTATGCAAACTACTGCACATATAACGCTCGAAACTATTTAAAACATGTAATATTTGGGTAAAAATAAATTATTAAAGCAAATATGGGTCATTGTTTTAAAATTTAGTTATAATTTAATAGAATTTAGAATCATTTACCATTGTTCATTGCATCGATGAAAAATTTAATTACTACATTATTTCATTTTATTCAATAATGTGAATCAATTTATCATCTGATAATGATATCAGAATGACTGGTCCATAAATAACTTTATTTGGAGTCATTCTTTTGATGTTGGTGCAGCTATAGAACCGACAACAACAAAAAAAAAAACGTACAAATTATCTGAATTTACCGATTCTCTTAAAAATATCAAGAATACACATTCGACATTCTAATTGCAAGCAAATTATGAGTGTAATTTCAAAGCAAAATTTTCAAATATTTTTTAGAATACAATTTTTTATTGATTTTTGTTCTATTAATTTTTATTTTTGATACTATATGATGCTTGGACAAAATTTTTGGCCGACAATCGAATTTTAATGATCGTGTTGTTGGTAGGAATTTTATGCGATTGAAAGGATTGAATATTAGTTTTGGTCGATGATCTAACAATAATGATGTAGGAGTATTAGATGTTGCTTCTGTTTTACTAATATCTTCATCAATAGTAAGGTCTGCTGTTCGTTTTCGAAATCTAAATACAGAACGCATTGTTTTTCCAAAATGACGACGAAAAATTGGATGATTTTCCACACGAATCATTAAAATACAACATAGTATAAAAGACAATATAAACAAAATGATCATCATGATAATAAGAAAAGAACGATTTTTTGCTACATAATACAAAATTCATTATTAGTTAAATGTAATTTAGGATTATTATTGCAGTTGTCGAGTAAATTCTTCAACATAGCATTAGTGTAAAATGATAATATTCTTTTTCGTTACTCACCAAAAAAACTTTCCGATATGGATCCAGGACAGACGAAAAATGATGAATATTTACGTTTATCAATCGATACAGGTTTATTGGCCTTCTTATAAGCATCTTCACTGAAAATTTGCACATCAGTTTTATCTAATAGATAGAAACGATCATCAGCCACAAAACCATTCAATATAGGCCATTCTATTGCATCATTTTTACAAATTTCATTATAATTTTTGATAATAATTGTCATCTTTTGTTTATCGCCATAACAAATCAACCTAAATGGATGCGTCATCTTAATTTTATTGCCCTGACATTTATAAATTGCTATTTCCAATCCATTATTTTTTTGCGAATGACGTAATGAATAAAACATACAAGATTCTTTTGTTGATATAAGCACTTCTTCTTGATCACCAACGAAACGATAGCCTGATTGAACTTTATCGTTAATTAGATCATATTTGATGCCTCCTTCGTCTGTTTTCTTATCCCAAGTGGTTATACAAAGCCAATCCGTTGTTTTATCGATTATGAAAAATCCGTTGAACAATTGTGTCTTAATTGTGTTGAACCGAGATGATTCAAAAAGAGTAGGATATTTGACCGACATTGGTGTCGGTTTAGCATTTAAATATAATCTATTAATGCTTGAATCGAGGGAACCTTTTGCCAATTCATATACATGAAAATCTTTTGTTATAAGCAATAGATGTTTTCGAGTTAAACCCACCGCCAAAATGTTCAGCTCATTTGAACCTTGTGCTTCAACTTCATCATTGGCAAGTGAATGACATATCTGATTTGATTCAGTTTCGTTAATTGTATTGATGAAATCAATTGATAGAATTGACCATAAATAAATCCACCAAACGAAATGGATTGTGTCAAGTTCGATTAACATTTGCAATTCTTGGCTGTTTGGTATACAAACTATTGCACGTATAACGCTTGGAACTTGAAAAAAAACAAGAAATATTTAAGGGAAAATAATTTATTTAAGCAAATATGATATCATTGTTTTAAAATTCAATTTTTATTTAATATAATTTAGAATCATTTATCATTGATTCTGATGATGGTTGCGTTAAAAAATTTGATTTCTGCCTCATTGAAACTTTAGTCAATGTCGATGGTGCCAAATTTTTAACTTGATCTCTATCTGAACTTATAACAGGAATTACATTAGATATGGTACTTATTTTACTTAATTTTTTCGGATTTTTTTCAACATTCGATATTACTGTGCTGCGTATTGATTTACTATGATTCGAAGATTTGATTGTCGGTTCTTTTGGTTTCGATGTTTTGAAATACAGATAGAGTATTAAACATAGTAATATTAACAATATCAGGATTGAAAATAAAACAAACCAAACTATTCGTGATGCATATTGGATAAACGGATATGGTAATTTTCCAGGACACAAAAAAAATGCTTTATAAGAATGTTTTAATATTGGATATGAATTATCGAATTTTATAATGGCTTGTTCACCAAAACTATAAACAGTATCCTTTGTGAATAAATAAAATTTATAATTGACCACAAAACCTTTCAATATGGGCAAGTCGATGGCGGACATTCCTAAATTATAACAATCATTTTGGCTAAAAAAAATCTGTTTTTGTAATGGGTAATCAAACCAACACATATTTCTATAACTAAAAACCGTTGTTAATCCGTAATTATTCATCATTGATGAACCACTCAATCGCAATTTTTGCATTTGTAATTGACCCTTTATTTTGTCTTTACGAATCGAATACAAAGAATTTTTTTCACTTGTTGAGATCAAGACTTCATGATTTATGTAAGACCATCCTGAAATAACTAAATCTTTATCTAGATTATATTGAATACCCTTGTTTATTACATTATTAGAGATGAAGCAAAGCCATGCATCATTATCGACAATAATAACTCCTTCATCAAACAAATCTAATTTTTGCTGAAAAAATTTATTATTCCACAAATTGGGATATTTATTTGATAAATGCACTGGTTTTGTTCGAAGATAAAGCTTGTCGATATTTGTTTTGACTTCATCTATATCAGCTTCATAAACATAAAAATCAGTGGTCAATAGTAAAAATTTTGTCTTGGTTAATCCAATAGTTAATATATTGAATTGATGATCTTTTTCATTTATTGTTTCACATAAAAACTTTTCAAACTTAAAATCTTTTTATTTATTTGATTTAGATAAACTTATAACATGGTACTTACATCAGAACGGTTTGTCCATGAATAATTTGATGAATAGTTTGATTTTGAACCATCATCTATTGTCAGTGCGGCTGAAAGACAATACATGCCACAAACAACAACCAGCCAAGAATTATGTACCAATGGTTTGAAGTTGATCATTCTTTTCGAGGTATTATGAATTTTGTATCAACATTCTGATGACAAGCGAATTATATGAGAGCAAAGTGAAATTTCAAAATTCTCGAATTCGAATTATTCGTTTTTAGTAAAAAAATAAACTATAGTTAATATTTATATGAAAAAACCAGTCTTTTATTAAATCTTAAAATTCAACACAATATTTCAATTTGTCAAGTTTGATGGAAACAATGTAATATTGTGCAATTAAAAATTAACACTATTGATTTAAAGTTTGACTAGAATTTTCATTGTTTTCCTCCATGATTACAAATCAATAGCATTGATCGATTCCATGATAATTATACCAAATATGACAAACATTAAACGGCATGATAGGATATAAATTTTTTGTTTTCGAGTGACAATTTTGAAAGGTGATTTAGATACTATTGACACATGGTTATTAGGTTTTGATCGTTCATTGTTTTGATCATCATTTAGATTCAATAATTCAGGCAGAAGGCTAGTTAATGCAATGTAAAGGAAACCACCGGACGTTAACGGTAAAATCCATAAAGTTGCATTAAAAGAACTAGAATTCGATTGCGATTGTTGTTCACAATATAGAACACATAAGCTACCAATTATGGTGAATATTGATATGGATAATTGGGCTTTAAATGCTCGCCAACAGGTAAAACCAGAGCGTATGAGTATAACAAAATCGACAACTTCATGTGGCATCTCATGTAAGGCAATCGCTATAGTTGTCATTATGCCCATTTTGTAGCTAACCAAAAATGAAGCAGCCACTGACATTCCATGAGTAAAATTATCGAATCCATTAGCCAATAGATTAAGATAACCTGTTGCGGTAGGAGTATTATTATTCATTGGTGGTAATGATGATTCTAAAGAAATAAATTGGAAAATTTTTAATCATAAATTATTTAGAAAAATTTCATGTTACCATTAATTTCTTTTGATGATTTTTGAAGTCGATTTCGTAAATTTTTCGAATCACCATTTTGCTGTTTGTGATTATTTATTTTATGATTTGAAATTTTCCCGTTAGTGATTTTTTCATCGTTTATATTTTTTAAAAATTTATTGCTCTCATCATTTTCTATCACAATAATTAGTCTAATAAATGTTTCAGTCGTCGCAAAAATGATTACACCGATCAGTATCCATACTCCAAGATAATGTTGTGTATTTTGTGGCGTATAGCCGGCCATAACTAATTGACCACATGCTTCAGGTAAAATATGTAGAAAAACGTCAGCGATTAAAGCTCCAACAGCGAATGCTAAAATCAATTTTAAAAATTCACTTTGTTCAAGATCAAATTTATTTGAAGAATTTCCTAGACAATGATCGACGGTACGTTTTTGTAAAAAACGTAAAAATATCAACAACATTAACATTGATGAAAATGATATCACACAACAGGAAGCAATAGTGACCAAATATAATTGAAACATTGTTGTATGACCTGTTACGGTAATCTTTTCATTAACATCATGACTGTTCGATATGATTGTATCATTGGATTTTGATATGGAAATTAAAGCAGCCAATGATGACGACCACTTGTTGGATACATCCAACCATAATGAATGATTCGAATGAATATCATCAACCATTATTGTTTTTTTTAATAATAAACTGATAGGCACTTTAAAGGTGAATCTTATCGTAACTAAGGATTTGATCACAAAGTCATCGATAAAAAAACGTTTCTTTGATATTTGAAACTATATAAATATCAGATGACAAATAGAAATTGTGTGGCGAACAACCGGATATATAAAAATCGAAACAGTAGTGAATATATCTCATCCGTATCTGCTTTTGATTTGGATGACCATTAAGTGAACACTTTTATCTACGGTTAAAGAGAAGAAAATAAAATGTCATAAATTTAGTCAAATCAAATATATTAAAAAATTTTTTTTTGTTGCCGTTGTTGTCATCATCAGCAAAAAAAAAATCACATTCGGATCATTAACACATCATTTATCAATCATTTGAATGTTGATGAACAAGATTATGGAAAAAATAACAACGAAAAAATCAGCGTAATGATGATTATAATCAAATTGATGTTCTTATTGACTAACTATTGAAAATTTACAGACACATACACACTTTGTCTACTCTCTTTTTATCGAAATGTATTCAATCATTTGCCCAATCAGAAGAAACTCAAACTTGGTTTGACAATTTTTTTTCATGTTCATGTTGTTGATATGACTAAAAATAATCAAATGCATTGAATCTCTGTTAATGATTGATATAAGATGAGAATGAAGGAAAAAACTTTTGTTCATGATAAAGATATAAGAAATATATAAAGAGAATGAAAGCAGATTCATATTACCGATATTATATCGATAAATATCCATCAAGGCATAAAATACCAATGAAAGTTAAACCATTTCGATCGATTCAATGCAATGTAAAACACGAAACAGTTGCGAATACAACTTTTACATGAACCAAATTAATAATGAAAAGACTTACCGCTAATGTGAATATGAATCGTCATTTTAATTTTTTTTGACTAAATTAATCATCATGGATTGTTTGACTTATTTTCAATCATTATGATCAATTATAACTTTTTAGTATTGTTAGCAACAGGAAATGTCAAATCAATATCGGCTTTGATAATTGAATTAAAAATAATGACAAGAATAAATTAATAAATTGTTAGTGATCATCATCAAATAAATATTGATTGATCCATGTTGGTTAGTGGATACACTTAAAAATTTTTACAAAGCGGTTTGCTTTTTCGTTTTCATATTCAAAAAAAAAGTCCACACTTTTTCTGATATCAGATTTTTTTGTTTTTGTTTGGAAAGTAAAATACAGAATAATGATTGTAATTATTAGAATCCATTGAAGAATGGATAAATAACTTTTTAACAAGCGTAACGTTCTATATGGATATGATGCTTCGAATTCGAGTCTGTGTTTTTGATGCGGCCCATTTTAAATCTTCATATTCATTAATTATATGTGCGTATTTATCAAATTAATAAATTCTTAAAATTATATTTACAATTGTTCCAATAATCCATAATTCCCATCCATCATTTTTCTATACATACGAATCGAAAAATATCATCAATAAACTTTATTATGTAAAAGAAAGAGATAAATATTGATGGATCAAAAAAAAAGATCAACCAAAAATTGAGGATGCTAGCAGCAACAGCTAACAAAATAGCTCACACATACACTCATACAATATTCGAAGTCTAACCTGATATAGTAGTAGCATATAGATGCAAATAACGGTACTGTCCGAATTAAAAAAAAACAACCACGAACAAACAAAAAATACACAGCACGCCCGTAACTGCATTTATAGAAATTCTGGAAGAAAAAAAAATATTCTTTCACCGAAACGCATCTTTCCATTAATATAAACAACAATATCGACTCAAATACATGTAAGTTGTAATTCGGTCATTAGAATTCATTTTCAAGAGTCGGCGTAACCTCATTGCAGCTTATTTTCAAGATTTATACGATCAAATAAGATTCGTTGTTTTGGTGTATTTTTCAATTTATTATTTTTTGTTTTGTTTTGTTTTGTTTCAGTTTCGATCGTAATTTTAAAAGAATTTTTCACATCATTTTTTCCTTAAATATACACATGGTAAGATAAATTCTGGGTCTAAATTTGTTATTTATTTATTTGTTTCTGGAAAAAACTTTAAAAACAACTTCGACTTTAAATGATATTTGCAAGTACTTATGATCTTGCTGATTAGTGATGACAGTGATATGTTTAAATATTTCATCATTTTGCTCGTCTATCTATGTGTATAAAAATGACGCCTTATTTGATAGTCTGCCTTTGTATTTTTGAATGGGCATGATTCTCTGATTTTGAATTGTAGGAAGAAATAATTTGTTGAAATTTTTATTTATAATTCCTGTTTACTGATTGTGTTTTTTGTTGTGATTATAATTTTTCAGTGATTAAAAGAAAATTGTGAAATGTTTATCGGATTATTTGCACCATTATCATCATCATGTCTTTGCCAACAGAAACATCTACAGCCATTGATGGTTGTAAGATCAGCGAATACATTGATGAACAACAGCAATTCGAAACTGTAAACAAAAATGATAACGAAAAGAAATCTGTGATAGAAACCGTAAACACTTCCATTCATGAAACCTCATTGCCGGATAATAATGAATCTATATGTACGGAAACTGTGGCTTCCATCAATCCAGCATCGACATCAGATACAAATGATCTAGAAACTTCATTAGCCAATTATTGTACGGTGGCTGATACAGCATCACCAAAAACAGCCTCATCATCAGAAATTTCATCCAACAATAATAACAATAATCATCGTAACGATTCCAATGATTCGAATTCTATTTCGACACAGGTAATTAAAAATCCAATGAATTATGATTTTTAGCTAATCAAATTTACACTCTAAAGGAATCGAATATTGAATCATCCGATCCTAATGAAGAGCAATCGAAACCAGAGTTATTGATAAATAATAGTGGACTAGATCAAGATTCGATTTCAACAACCAGAACAAATTCTGCTATTAACCTGAGTTCGCAAGAATATCATCTAAAATGGATTAAATGGAATGGAGGAAATGGTGGTTCTAATGGTAGTAATAATAATGGTAATGGCCAAACTCAACAGCAATCCCAAAAAGTGCCAATCGTAACACAAAATTCTAATGGTTCATGTCCACTACTGGCCATAATTAATGTATTGTTATTGCGCAAGAATATAACATTTCCCCCAATCATTGAAATTGTCACAGCATCCCAATTAATGGATTATCTTTGTGATTGTATACTAACTTATGTTCCTAAGGTAATTTTATCATCATTTAATTTCAAAATGTCTCTATTTCTTTATTCATTATTTTTTCAAAGAATCTATCCGAACAAGTTAAATTGAATTATGAACAAAATCTTCAAGATGCTATGTCGATAATGCCACGATTACAAACTGGTTTAGATGTGAATGTTAAATTTACCGGGTAATTTTTATTGGTGGTTGATTGCTATTCCAGTTAGTATTTCATATTTGCATTCTTTTTCTTGATTCTTTCTAGAATAATGGATTTCGAATACACACCCGAATGTATAATATTTGATTTGTTACGCATACCATTATATCATGGCTGGCTAGTCGACCCTCAACATCGCGAAATATGTCGTATAATCAATAACCAATCCTATAATCAACTAGTTGATAGAATAATTGGTTCAAAAGCAACAAATTCAAATAATAATGAAAGTTAGTGATTTTTAAATATTTTAAATCAGATTTTTACCATTTTAATTGAAAATTAGTGTTTTTGGCTGAAGAATTTCTCAATCAAAGCGCATCACAATTGACTAATTATGGTCTTTCTCAGCTGATAAGACATATAAACGATGAAGAAATATCTATTTTATTTCGCAATAATCATTTTATTACCATGTATAAACATAAGGTTTGATTTTTGTTTTTTTTTCAATTAATCATTATCTTATGCTCATTATTCCAATTAAAACGTTTTCAGGGTAAACTATATCAATTGGTAACCGATCAAGGATTTCTGACTGAGCCAAATGTTGTTTGGGAATCATTAAATAGCATCGAAGGTGATGATTATTTTGTTGATGCTGATTTCCAGTTAGTTCCACCCAAACCATTGACATTATTGCCATTGTCATCTTCATCAACATTGACAACACAGTTGCCAAATCTCAATACACAGCAACAAATTGATCAAGAGTAGGTTAAAAAATATTTGTTTCCTTGTGATCAAAACTCAATTCTCTCACCAATAGCTATCTGATTGCCTTGAGCTTGGAACAGGAGCAAACTTTCGACTTGGATCAGCAACAACAGGACCGAATCATGAAATCACGAGCTTGTACAGATAATTGTAATAATACCCCAAATAAAACAACGATTATTGATGGTAATCAAAAAATATTCATGAGCGATGAAGAATTGGCTAGAAAATTACAAGCAGAAGAAGATCAATACTATGAACAGCAATCAAGTCAACAACGTAAACAATCACCAGCGATTAATAATAGTAAAACCTATGCATCTGTCGTATCATCATCTCAACAACAAAAAACAACGAAGACTGCAAAAAATCTTTCTAATCATTATCAAATTCCTAGTACTGGCAATATAACGTCATCTTGTCAAACGAACTCCATAACTACTTCATCATCACACAATCCACATTGCCATCAACAGTCTCAAACGACAAAATTATCATCAACAATAACATCATCCGGAACTTATCAGCAACATCCACGAACCTCAACATCATTGTCTTCGTCGACTTCCAGCTATCATCATCAACATAAACAACACGGGCATGCACATCCCTCCACAAATCATCAACGTTCAGCATCTTTAGAACAGAGTGTGTCCACGCCAGTCACGCCTACAACGACAACCGGAATCATACCTGATGATCGCCAAAGTGTATCATCAAAACGTTCGCAGAATAAAAATGTATGCTTTTGATTTGAATTATTTAGGAAAAAAATTAATTCAATAATTTCTAATATTTTCAGTGCACGATATCTTAGTCACCAATCATCGCTTACATGAGCCAATATTTTAATAGATTGTTCGCCCAATGAGTGCCTCTCGAGTTGTGGTATTTTTTTTGTTGCTCATGTCACCACGTTTCATATTTGGCTCCAATCTTTGATCATATTCTGTGAGATTCATTTTTTATTAATTTTCAATGAAAGCCATGGAACGCTTACAAAATTTACGCTTGTGGAAATCAAAAGCGAAAATGTGATTTTTTTTCTTCATCATTGTCTTCATTCTCGATCCAATTTCCTCAAATTATCCATTCATTTGTGTTTTTGATTTAACCCTTTCTTCAGAATCTATGTTTTTTAATATTTCAAAATATCTCATGTAGCCCAACGATTGTTATAACAAACCATGAGAAAACATTCTACTGAAAGGTTAATGAATGGTCATCAGATGGCCGATTTCGATTGGTATTTTGTTTCGTTGCTGAATTTTTTTTCTTTTCTTATTTCATTTAATTTGTTTTCGCATGAAGTGTATCTTCATGAAAAAATTTTTTTGAAAAGATTGATTTGTTGATTTTTTTTTTGTCTTTAACTTTTTCTCGTATTGTTTTTCCTTTTAATGTATCTTGAATTATAAATATGCATAGATGTATGTTGATACGAATTTCAATTATTATAATAATGGAATTATTCAATAAATATTCTGATTAAAAACAGAATTTATCATCAAAAAAAAAGAATTTTATTTCATACTGCCATTTCAAGTCACTTTGGTTTTTATTAGGTGTAAATAGTTGATCGATGTCAACTAAATATCGAGAAGTAAATAAAATTGACTCAATCTTGGCTGTGATTTAAAAAATCAGGTTAAATAGAATTATTTTTTGTTTTTCCAAAATTTTTGTTCATCGTGATAGATACATTCTTCATTCACCATCGAATTATATAACTATTGCAAAAAGAAAAAAAATGAACGGCTTCATCGTACCAGCAGCGATTAGTGGATTCTGGTTCATAATCGGTTTTATCATTCCGTTATTTATTCCTCGTGGTCCTAACAAAGGGTATGTAGATGATCAAATTAATGAGAATTGCTATTAATTAATCTATTTGAACAAACAAAATTTTATTCAAAATCCTAATTTTAATGAAAATGTATGAAAAAATGAAAATGGGCGTTTTTTATTATTTCCATCGATTCGTATGGCTAAAAAAAATCCTTTGTTAACCGATTAGTATAACGGTTACATGCTTAATGATAACTGCCGTCTGTTGCTGGGTTCTGTAAGTATCATATTTTAAAATTTTTCACATCACTTAAATTCTACAAATCGAACATTCACTCGTTCGCCAAATCGACCCTTGTTTCATTTTTCATTCATGCAGATAGAAAAAAATCTGATGCTTTTTTCAATGGCTTGTGATTTTTTGAAAATAAATTATCATCTCTTTGTGACGATGGGAAAGATTTTCACTTGATTTTTTTTTCATTTCAATTTTGAAAAAAGGGTTCGGCCATTTTCTTTCTTCATGTTAATTTCATTTAGTATTTGTCACACTCTATAAATCTCGCTAGTTCATCTGCTCTGCTGGCTTTATATATATAGGATTCTTTTTTTATTTTAATTAAATTATCGAATCAATGACAAACCATCTAAATCAAAGGGGTGGTGAATATGACCCACTTTGCTTTCGTCTATGATTCAACATTATCCATGGGATTTATACCCAAGATGTTATAAATTCATAGTGTACAGTTAAAGTAATCTACACATTATAAACATTCAAATTCCACTCTAATTTAATACAGTTTAAATTTCGATTTTATTTGGTTCGTCCATAATTTTTTTCTATTCGTTGAATGAAGTGTAGAGATGAAAAACTCATTCGACTTTCTTTCATCCCGAACCAAAAATTCAAGAAATTGTATCAAAGTTTTGCTAAATTTGTCAATAATTTTTTTTTCATTGCATACTGTTAACGTGTTTTCAATGTTCAATGATAGATCCTTTTTCTCTTTCATCCAGAAATAATTAGTATTGATTTTATATTTGCATTCAGCTAAAAAAAAATTCATCCATTTTTTTCGTTAACTTACAGATGGATTACAACCTACATCGCTCAACTGAACCCATTATTTGGTCCACAGATTAAAAGTACAACGTTAATTTTGATGAAGAACTGGGGATTCTGATCATCAAAATCAAAGGAGCATTAAGTCAATGATGTAGTGATTCCCGGATAAAAAAAAGAACAATGATGATAATGATGGATGTAAAGCAAAATACAATATCATTTTTATCAACAATTCATACTATTGCTACTCAATCAATCAAATTATTTATACATTCTCATTTTTCATCGTTTTTCTGTTTTTGATCATCTTTATATTATTTTTTTTAATCTAATCAAGAATTTTCATTATTATTATTCATTCTAACAGAATAAATTTGAATTAAATAAATTCATTCATCATAAATGAAAACAAAAAAAACATTACCTTTTTATTCCGTTGTTTTGTTATTCAAATTTATATTCATAAATATTTGCATGACAAAATTGTTTGTATTTAAATTTTATAATTATTCAATCAATTTGTTATTCGTTGTTACAATTTTTTACATTTATAAACATATCCATACATACATGAATATAGGAACTTTATGAAAGCTAATTGATGATATGATTTATTCAAGAAAAAATTTTTTCCTGTGTTATTTTTTTAATTTTTTTATAATTATATCTTATTCTTGATCATTTTTTTAAATTTGTGAAAAATAAAAACAATTTTATTTTAAATTCTTATTTTCATGTTTCTTATTGCATGCAATTTTTTATGAAAATAAAAATAACGGACAAACAAATATTATCTCTTATCGATTTAATGATTTGCCATTTTTCTCAATCAATAAAAATGGGAAATTTTCGAAAATAATATTTTGTCTTTCTCCTTTCCCTTTTCGACACTATGTTTTCTTTCCTCACCATATTTTTTATTCACAGAATTTTTTTTTTGAATGTTAACCTGGATATTCTGTAGAGGCCTTAGGGCTGGCATTTTATAATCTTTTTTTATTTCAGTAAATTTATTGCTATTTTTATTTTATTTTTATTGCTTTAATATTCCATGTAGGCCAAATAAATTTCTTCATCATTATTATTACATGTATGACAAATATAATAATAGGTTGAACATTTATATATACTTTTAATGGAATTTGATTCTAGATGATGATGATCTTGTAATCATCAAAGGTAATGATTACATTTCGATTCTATGATTTATTCTACCGATTTCATTTGTAAAGAAATAATGGAAAAAGATTTTTGTTATTTTTTTTCTTTCAATGAAAATTTATGCAACATTTCATGTCACCCGGAACAGAATTTCCATAGTACATATTCACACACAAACATTCATAAACAAGAGAATTATTTCAATACACATTCATTAATTAAAAGTTTTCGGTTAATTAATATTAACAAAAAAAAAATGGAGCTAAATTCCTCCCTCTCTCTTTCTCGTTGGTATTTGTCATACGCCAGATGATTAAGTATGGAAAAATATACCCGGGTTAAGGTTAAACCAAAAAAAAAACTTTAATAATCATAATCTTGTTGTTGTTGATGATGATGATGATGATCACAATGTGAACATGTCAATCTATAGTCATTCAAACGTAGTAACAATAATAGACACGTTTTGCACATAGATTATTCGATTAATTTACGTGAATATTTTTTTTTCTTCTCATATAAAGGGATAATGTGCAGAGACAAATTATTGTTCCATTAAGATTGATCTATAAATTCATTTTGTAAATGTAATTTGAAAATGAACCAACAATTGTCGACCAATTTCTTTCCTCATAGTTGATATTGTTGTATGGTTATGAATCATCATAGTATTCAGTGAATCATGATATAACAATAGAATTGACTAATTTTGTTTGAAAAAAAAACTGAATTCAAAATCGATATAGAAATTATCAATCATTTCTATATTTTACGTGATAAAATTTATTGCTTCCTAATAGGATTTTTTTTTCGCCTACTTATCATATTTTTATATTCAATTATAATGGATTATGATGAATCACAGACGATCTTTTTCTCATTCATAATCATAATTATCTATATTTTAGTCATAGAATTGAACAAGAAAAAGAAACAATCAATTCTTTTTACTTCTCCTATTATAATCATTTAGAAATTTTTTTTTCTTAACATTTAAATTGATAATTTCAAAGGAAAAAAAATACCCATGGAATTCATAACTGAAAAAAATGAACAAATCAACAACAACAACAACAACAAATAATAATGATAAAAATTCATTTTCATGACGAAAAAAAAAATAGATGAAAATAAAATTATGAAAAGATAAAAATGAAATTGAAATATCGTTTATTTTGTGTCTGGTGTGTTGATATAATAATGGAATTCATTGCCTGTTAATTCGACCAAAAAAAAAAAAATTATAAAAAAAATGAAAACAGACACACACAGAGAGAGAATATTCTTTGGTCATGTCATTTGGAATTTTTACATACATAATGTTTGAATTGATTCAAAAAATTTTTTACTAAAACAACCGAATTATATTTTCTTGTATAATGCAGAACTTTAAATGAGAAATCAAAGTGGATGGACTATCAAAATTGAAAAAAAAATCAATAATATCGAATTTTTTTTTGTATTCTCGGCTTGTTTATTCGTTAGATATTTTTTCTTTCTTTCTTTTCCTTCCTGTGTTTTGAATGTTTTTTTTTCTATAACTCTCTATAATCGATGAAAAGTTGAATTTTTTTACATTTTCTTATTCAAAAATTCAGTTTGCCCACTTTTTTTATGGGGGAAGGAGGTGATACAAAACAAAACAAAAACCAATTGTTAAGTAAATAATGTTCATACGAATGAATGAATGAATGAATATAAAAATGAATTTTTTAGCAATTCAAAATTCATTTTCTTGTGTATATACACTACTAAATGAATGAATGAATGATGATGATGGCCTAATGATGAAAAATTAACTGTATGCATAAATTAGATTTTTATTTTTTGTTGTTGAAATGATGAAAAAGAATAGAAATATTGTCTGAACAAAATAATCGACCAAATTAGATGCAGCATGAAGCATGAAAAGTTTAATCGAATTTCATGTTCTTTTTTCATCATCATCATAATGGCCAGGTTTTTATGATGGCCGGCTTAAAAAAAAGGTAAAAGAAAAAATTGAAATCAACGAGCTTCAATTGAAAGAAAGAAAAAACTAGCAGCTTGTTTCATTTGAACACAGAATAGAGAAAAAAAAACTAATTTTAGTTGATATCTTAGATTTCTGTTCTGCTTTTTTTTTGCTGAATTGAATTTATCATCATATCATATCATAACTGGAAAATGAAAGAATGAGAAGAAAAAAAAAATCGTGACCAGTTGATGATGATAACACGACAATACAAAAAAAAAATTCACATTCATAGTGGCCAAATATATTGGAACCTAACAAATCTTTCATCGAAGATATTTTTCTTCAAATAGAATGAGAAATTTTTTTTTCTTATTTCAATTTTTGAATGAATAAAAAAAATGAAGGAAAAATTTACGGACCCTTTCCGATTTTTAAAACATAATACGAGTATAGTAAATAGTAGTAGTAGTATTACTGACAAAAAAAAAAGATTCCAGCTTTACCTTAGTGAACTACTTCTCTCTTTTTCTCTCGAACCTGTTCCAACCATTCTTCAATGATGCTACCACTATTTTAGGATTCAATAAAAAAAATTGGATTCATTTTTTTTATATTCCACACATTTATTACGGGAGAGTCATCCATGAAAATTGTTACGATAATGTAATCCGATCGATGGCGAACAGCCATTTGAAGCCATTATTTGTCTGTCTGTATGTGTGTGTTGTTTTTGTATCTATATAGTGTACAAAAAGAGAAAAAGATTTTTGCCCATCCATAGATTAAAAACGGGGACTGTCCAACTTTATACGGCGACGACGACGACGACGACGACGTTATGTTTTGACTCGACTCATTAAAAAAAAATTCAATGAAATTTTTTTTCATTTTCATAAGTCTGTAAGAATAACGCGACGCCCCAAATTTTGTTTTTGTTTTATCACTGCTTTTGATGGATCATTCATTCAAATCATTCCTGAATTCTTTGGCATACGAAAAAAATCATTTATTTTCTGTTATCAAAAATTATTCATTGGAATGAATGAACGAAAATTCATATTGGTCAAAATTCATTCTAATCTTTTGTATGTAAATAGTCTACCGATGTCAAAGAAAAAAAATGAAATAAAATAAAAACTTGATATATTTTTGTTGTTGTTGTTGTTGTAATTGATGTCGTGCACATTTACCAGAACTTAATCATCCTATATTCTTTGTGTAAAATATTATCACAGTGATTTTATTCATCAGTTTCGAATCCATAAGTAAACATGTTCAATGAAAATGTCAAACATTCTTTTTTTTGAATTGTTCATAGTTTTTTTATCATCAATTTTTGTGTTCAATTTGTGTAAATAATTATTTGTCAACAAAATAATCAAATGATGACAAGAAGTATTCAAAAATAGTTTATTGCCATTTTGATCTACATTGATTATGATTAAATACTAAACTTCGTAGCCATTTTTATTTATTATTGTTTTCTGTTGGATTGTGAGAAGTTTTTTTTCTGTTTTGTTTACCTACCACGATCAGTGTTTTTATTTATTTATTTGCCATCTGTGTATCAATGTTTGATGTGATAACATGACCATAGTAACCGAAGAATAAAAAATTGATGGCCGTATATGATCATAGTCGCCATCGTCGTTTTTTTTTTCTACCAGAAATGGAATCAAAGCTTCCTATCTTTTGTTGTTATTTTTGCCATAATTTGATTCGAAAAAATATGGCAATTTGTGTCAGTAGTGTGATATAATTTTTTAAAGTAATTCTTCAAAAAGTTTTCTTCACTTCATTCGTCATTTCCTTCGATATTATATATTTATTTGCAGCATAATCACCACAATGGCTGCCACCATAAAATCATCCTTATCAATGAAAATCATGTCATTACATAAGGATAATGTTCATAATTATCATCGTATAAAAATTCCATTATCGTCATCAATCGATTATGATAAAAAACTAGCAATAATCGAATGCGAAAAGTCTGAAAGAAATTATCATTACCAATCTACGATTTGGTATCGATATTTAATCGAATTACAAGCCCTATTATTTTTAATAATCGATTCATTTATGAATAAATATCTACTATCGTGCAAACGGACCAAGCATCATTATCGATCAATGATAGTTGACAATTTTTGTAGACAATCATCACATTTATTCACCATTTTTGTTACTTTAATCATCTGTTTGTTACCAATGTTTATTCAAATTTCATACGTTGCTGATGCTGCAAGAACTAATAATGAATGTAGATTTCCCGAACATTGGTGGGGTAGTTGGTTTCAGAAAGGTGTTTCTGGAACGATATCAATTACAATGAATAACATTTCACATAAAGGTTTTTGTCGCAAAAATCATGGTGATAAATATATTATCGAGAATAGGTATGAGAACGATTCCTTCTTTTTAATCAATATTTCATAGATAAATTTTTTATTTAAAAATTTTCTTAGAACTGATCGATGTGTTCGATGTTTGGTCATTAGTGAAAGACATGCCAATATTTTACAATACAAAGAAAGTATGTTAATAGAAAGAAAATATTTTCTAATTCTTTTTCAATATTCGATAATTTTTTTCTCATTATTTTCATTTGTTTCTTCCTTCATTCAATAGCGAGTTTTTGTTATCCATTATCGGAAGATACAAACGAAATTTGTTTCGATATTAACGGTGATGCTCCATTGTATTCATTGTTTCGAGGTTTGTTATTGTAATTTAATCATATTTATGTAATCAAATCATCGTATGTCGATGTTAACGACGTCGAATCCATTATCATTGCTGATTTTTTTATATCTTCAGTATCGGCATCCAAATCAATGACGATGCTGACAACATCGACAATGATTTTGATGATAATGATGATTCATTCCATTATCTACACAAATATCACTTATTGCTATTGCGTGTTTATTGAATGATTGGCCTGTTTTTTTCTAAACATCATTTTAAAAAATTCATTTTGTTTAAGTTGTCATTCAATTGTTCTATTGTACAGACAGATCTGATCGACCGATCAATTGATTGATCGATTCGTTTGTTGGACAATTATAATATCATTGCATCTAATCTAAACTTTGGCTAATTCGTTATCTAATTTGTTTCTTGTTTTTTACATGCATTTTTAACAGTAAATACATCTCCCATCAAGTGTCCTTTCAATGGCCCGTTTACGTTTTCCTATTCGAAAGGTATTATGAATGAATGTCGAGATCCACCATCTACAATTGATCAATGTACCGATGACCGACATTTGTTGTTCAAATTTCGAGCTTGTATCGACATTCATGGCTCTGAAAGTAAAGGTATAATGATTGTTAATGTAGTTAGCATTTCTGAATCTAATTTTTAATTATCGAATGAATTTTTTAAAATGATGTTGATGATAGTGGAAGAGCTTGAATGCTTAGCCGATTGGAAAGAAGGATCATATCGATATCTAGTAGGAAAACTATATCATCAACTTGCCACAACCGATGAGGATCGTTTCCGATGCTTTGTATTCGAACGTAACAATTCTGATTATGTTGAAAGTTACAATATTGGCCAATCTGGTGATGCTAGTTGCGAAGGCCTATTCTCACCGCGCGATGGTTCCCGTACATTCAAATTGCGCAAAACAAATTCTATTCAATCTAGTTGTGAATTCCCTCCTTGGATTACAGATGTAAAACTTTGGTCTACATTGGACAATCGTCATGTTTATGATTTTACCGCCTTAAATCAATTTACTGTCGTTGACATGAAGCAAACGGTGTTCCAGCTGGCCAAATGTATTCGATCCGATGATGTTTCATTTCAATATCGTTTCAATACGAGCCGATTCATCATTCATACCACTGTGCAATGGTAAGCGAATTCTTTCATATTAGAAATTCTCGATATAATTATTCATCTTTTTTCTTTCCAACAGTTCAAGCGGTTATGCTTGTATGAATGCCTATCAACGAGAAGATCGTATCACCGAATTACAAATTGGAAACATTGTTTCTGACATCAATGAAGCTTGTTCGCCCAATAATTTTAATCTTCGTCCAGCCAATTTCATTACGTTGACAAGTAAGTTGTTAAAATATTTTCTCGAATTAATAAATGATGATTTTATTTTTATTTTATGCTATTCAGCCTTGGATCAAGAAATGCGTCCTTGTGAACTAAGTGGAATTTATTCGATTCGTACAAGAATGCCATACAGTTATAATCATAAAATTATGACCAATTATAGTCGGCTAGTATCGTTATTGGATTCAAGATTTATGTGCCAAGAAAAGGACCTAAAATTGCGTTCAAATTGTGAAGAACCTGAAATGTTTCAATTTATTTGTACGACCGATAATCGAATCAAAAGTAAACTAATCATTTCTATAGTAAAAATTTTATCTAATCATTTTATATTTAATCCTAGATTTTTATTGTCGCGGCGGTTGGAGAGAAAATAATACCCAATATTTTCTCGTATCATTGATCGACAAATTCAATTATGGATATTGTATATCGTACAATATCGAAAATAAAGAAATTCGTTTGATTCGCAATAGTCATTTTTGCTATCGTAATGATCAAATCTTACAAAATTATGACCAGACACAGACACCTTCAAGATCATTCCGTCCATCGGTGGTCATTGGTGATCAATATCCAACCAACAAATTTGCCTCAACCAAATATGATGATAGCATTTCATTCACTTTGATAAATGAAGGTTCCTGTCAGCGTTCGAGTTCAGTTTCATTCATCGGACATAGCTGTCGAAAACTTTTTCTTTTATGGTTATTCATTATCATTGTGGTCAGCTTTCATTCAAAAGCATGATGACGATGCTCAAACAATCAATCATTCATCTGTCTTTCTCTTTCCAATTCACCAAATTTTTTTATTGAATCAATCATTCAATGGAATGCCCGAATTCATGCTTGAAATATCAAGTATTTTTTCATAATATCAATTCTTATGGTTGTGATATTTTTTTCACCAAAACAAATGTATTTGTATCATTTAGTTGCTGCTTATTTCAGCTAAGAATTTGCTATTAATTCATAATTGATTATGTAAAATCTTAAAAATTGCAGCAAGAAAAAGATTCCATTTTTTATGTCATTTAAATGTTTCGTTATGAGATTTTTTTTAGAAACAATGTAAATATTATTTTCATATTGTAGATATTAATGCTTAGGTGAATCAGCCTAAATCATTATACAATCTTAATCTTTACAAGCAAATCGACACATTCACACACTGACAAATACATGCAATTCCTGTGTCGGTATTAACTAGTCTAATTTCTGTTTTTTTTATATCCGCAGCAAATAATGTGTCAAGATCGAAATTGTGTGATTTAATAACTCGAATGCTTGAAAAAATTTATCTGATATCAGATCATGTATCTATTGTAAATGTTTTTTTTCAAATAAAACCAGATGTTTTTTTTATCGCAACAAATAATCTTTAATGATGAATAAAAGAAATCATTTTTGTAAAGGATAAAGATCTTTATTGAAAATTTTTTAAAATAGAATTATACAAAAGTGCGTCTTGTATACCCATGCCGAATCAACAATCACGTATGAATGGGAAATCACTACTGCCAACACAACAATTTCATGGGCTAATATCTTTTGTGATCATTATAATGAAAATAATCTATGTATACAAATCTTCATCAACGTTATCGGCTTCGTTGTTCGAGGATTGATTCTGGCTTCCTGGAAATCTGTTGTAATAAAAAAAAAATGAGTTGAAAAAAGGTAAAGAGAGTTCCTGTTTTACCTGAAATTTGAACCGAAACCTCGACTTTGCTGCAATGTCTGCGAAAACATTTCATATTTACGGATGTCAGCATCGCTAACAGATCGTCTCGCCATTTTCAAAGCATCTTCAAAATGATCGCGTCGAATTTCCGGCACTGGATCCTGCTCTTCAACATCCTGATAAAACGACTAAATATAGAAAAAAATACTTGGATCATTTTCAAATGGGCTTACCATCGCTGATGGTTCTTGATCTTTTTTCTCTTTAGCGCGCTTAATTTCCGCTTCGATCGCTTCACGAATAGCAAGTTTACAGGCACGTTGACATATTTCAGTGAGATCTGCTCCGCTGAATCCATGTGTTATCTTAGCAATGTAGCATAAATCTACTTCTTTTGAAATGGGCGATTTGCGAAGATTAGCCTTCAAAATAGATTCTCGTGATTTTTCATCCGGTAACGGAATATACATAAGCTGATCAAGACGTCCGGGTCGCAAAATGGCTGGATCAATGATATCCGGACGATTTGTTGCGCCAATTATGAACACATTCTTTTTGCTTCCCATACCATCCATTTCGGTTAGGATTTGATTGATAACGCGATCAGCAGCACCACCAGCATCGCCAACGCTACCGCCACGAGCTTTAGCGATCGAATCAAGTTCATCAAAAAACAACACACAAGGAGCAGCAGCACGTGCCTAATAAAAATTAATGAAAAAAAAACTTGAGATTTCTTACAATTTTCAAACATACCTTGTCAAAGACATCTCGGACATTAGCTTCCGATTCACCAAACCACATGGTTAACAACTCTGGACCTTTGATGGATATGAAATTAGCTTGACATTCGTTGGCTATAGCTTTTGCTAATAATGTTTTGCCACATCCAGGGGGTCCATAAAAAAGGACACCTCGTGATGGTGTCATACCAAACTTGAGAAATTTATCAGGGTGTTCGACCGGATATTGAATCATTTCTTGCAATTCTTTTTTGACATTCTGCAAGCCACCGATATCCTCCCATGTAACTGTAGGAACTTCAACAACCGTTTCTCTCAAAGCACTCGGGCTGCTTTTGCCTAATGCATAACGGAAATTGTCCATAGTCACAGCCAAAGAATTCAATACTTCAGCATCTATTTGATCCTCTTCTAGATCAATTAAATCCATCTTTTCACGGATTTGTTGTAAAGCGGCTTCGGTACAGAGTTGAGCTAAATCAGCCCCAACAAAACCATGCGTTTCTTGAGCCATTTTTTCAAGATTAACATCTTCAGCAAGTTTCATATTTTTTGTGTGGATCCGGAGAATTTCCATACGACCAGTTGTATCTGGAATACCAATATCAACTTCACGATCGAATCGACCGAAACGTCTGAGAGCTGGATCGATACTATTCGGTCGATTGGTAGCAGCCATCACGATAACATGAGCACGTTGTTTTAAACCATCCATTAATGTCAATAATTGTGATACGATTCGTCGTTCAACTTCGCCATGAGTTTTTTCACGTTTTGGGGCGATAGCATCTAATTCATCGATGAAGATGATGGCTGGTGCATTTTTTTCCGCTTCTTCAAATGCACGTCGAAGATTACTTTCAGATTCACCAGCCAATTTGCTCATTATCTCCGGCCCATTTATTAGAAAAAAGAAAGCACCGGTTTCATTTGCAACCGCACGAGCAATAAGAGTTTTACCAGTACCGGGCGGTCCATAAAGAAGAATACCTCGTGGAGGCTTAACACCAATTGCTTTGAATAAAGTTGGATGACGCAATGGCAACTCAACCATTTCTTTAATCAATGCCAATTGTTTACGGCAACCACCTATATCATCATAGCCAATCGAATTGAGACTTTCTTCCTCTTCTTCACGTTTGACAGGTTCACCTTCGCAAAATATGACCGTATCAGGTGAGACAATACAATATGGAGATGGATCAGTTTCTAACACTTTAAATTCGACAGCTTTCATTGCAGCGCGAACAATGAACAGATCACCTTTGTGAATCGGACGATAAGCTTCAAGGAAGTATGGTTTCAAAAACACTTCGAATATACTACCCGTAACGCCTTCAACAGTATCATCAATGGGCAATATGTGGACACGTTTACCATATTTAACATCTGGACAATGTTGAATTGAAACCAAATCCCCGAAGCGTACACGAAGATTGTTTCGGACGCAGCGGTTCATGCGAATATGTTCATTCGGGCAGGTATCGTCTGATAAAACAATGCAAACAGTGTTGCGTCGTTTTTTACCCTTTAACAAGACCGTATCACCACGAAAAAGATTCAATTCTTCCATTTTAGCCTTAGAACATGCAAATCGAAAACGAATCAAAAGTGTGTTACAAAATATAGCTAACCAAGATCGGAAGAAGCAACAAACTTACCGGAGATAGAGCAATAACTGAATTGTCGTCATTGGTTGCTTCTTCCACAAAAAGACGATTTGGTTTTTGTTTGCGTTTCAAAATGGCCGTAGCCAGATCATCTCTATGGAAAAATTAAACATGACGTAAGGATGATGAATCATTAGCGAAAATAGACAGACATACCCTTGTTTAGGTTCAGACATAATTCAATTGTTTTGTTTAAAATTTAGCAATCAATTTAATCAATAAAAAGTCGATGAATATTAATAAAAAAATCTTGAATAAATTTTCAATTTATATTTAATCAGCTTGAGATCGCTTGAATAGAAAAAAAACTATAATGTAACAAAACGCACACGAATTTCAGACTGACAGACCAAAACGATGTTGAGAACAATGTAAAAAACATTAAGAGAGTTCGAATCGAATTTGCCGAGTCACTGTTTGCCTGCTTGCTTGAGTGTGCAAGTTTATACGCTGACGTACACTCAAAAAATGACGGCGCTAGTGTATACGGAAAAATTAGAACTTTTTTATAATTTGAACGCATGCGTTCAACGAAAGAAATGGAATATTCTTGAATTCAAATAGAAATTATTAATTTTATTTTTAAAAAATTATTAATATTTTTTTTATTGATTATAAAATTCAAAATGCAATCAATTTTCATTAAATTTAATGTATATTTGTAAATAAGTTTGCTTTGTATATTTTTGTTATCTTTTTAATTTTTTTGCCTTCTGTACACTCAAAATCATATGATTAAATTTTTGAAAAATTATAATTTTTTATTCGAATGATTAATTGGTTTAAATTGGAGGATAAAATGATGAAAATTTTTGAGACCTTTTTTTCTCACTAAAACCAGAATTGAAAAAAATCAATGCCAAATATGTTTGTTATTGTTATGAATAGATATAATAAAGAGTTTGAATGCTTGGTTTCATATTTTATATCAAATGATTCATTTGGTTATCATTTGTGAGATTTCCTATTGAAATCGGAAAAATCGCATTGAGAAAAAATATTACAACATTCTGTTCGATTCGTCGTTAGTGAATGAGAAGAAAAATCCAAGAATTGTTAGAAAGACAACTGTGTTGCCCAGTAATACAAGAACACAAGCGCCTGGTACAATCTGTTAATCCAAGTTTTAAAAAATAATTTTTTACTTTTCTATTCAAATAACTAACCGTAGGATTTTCAGGCGGTGCTCGCGCCAATACAATTGGTAAACCATATGCTGAAATGACAATAATGGCCGTAAAAAATAGAGCCACATCTTTGGCTGCGGAAGAATATACGTTAGTGTTTTCCATATAACGATTCGCAATCAATACAGGTATTGGTGATAAAAAGTAGAATATAACAACAAAAAATGGCCACCAAACACTAAAACGAATTGAAATCTAAAACATTTTGACAATGATCAAGATGAAATAAACAACTTACGCTCCAAATGTTGGTGATGCACAACTAAGAATGACCAAGGTCATTCCAACCGAACCAAGAAACGCCAATACAACAAGTCTATTTCCATTTGATATATTTAATTAAAATAATCATTTTAATAAATTACAAAAAAAAATCTTACTCTGATCATTTGCGGTGAAAAAATTTACAAATAAATCATCATATGAAAAAATTAAAAGATTAGAATTAGGAGTAGAGAAACACATTCGTATGACAATACCTTTAAGTCCAGCCATATTATTTAGAGTGATTAAATTAACAAAAATTTATTCGATAAAAATTTAGAGCATAAAAATAAAAAATGAAATTCGATTTCATTAATTGAAAGACAACAAACATTCAACAAACAACAATCCAATACACAGCTGTTGATGACAGATACGCTTTTTGTGCATTTCCATAAAAGACGTTTTGCTTAAAATTTACATGTGACTTTTATTTCGTTTTAAATAAATAAAATCTTTTGAACAAATAAATGGATCCATTGATTGTTATTGGTGGTGGTATTGCCGGTGTTACTTGTGCTAAATCATTTTCGATTGATCAACCAAATCATCCAGTGATTCTCGTTTCAGCATCGTCTGTAGTGAAAACAATTGCTAATCTAAAAACATTAGGACGATCAATCGATATGTTCGATGTAATCGAACAGAATGCTAATACTTTAAAATCGTCCAACTTGCAAGTGATTATGAACAAAAAAGTCATTCGATTAGATTCTAATGAACATAGAATCCAATTGGACGATGGACAATGGTTGAAGTATGGTAAACTATGTATCTGTACTGGAGCTAAACCTCGAATGATTAATGTTGATAATCAGAATGCTCAACAATTCATCAGATATATACGTGATACGCAGACAGCAAAAGATTTTACAAAACTTTTAGCCGGTTCACGACGTATTATTGTGGCAGGTAATGGTGGTATTGCCATCGAAATTGTCTATGCCGTTGAAAATGTTGACATTATTTGGGCCATTCGTGAGAAAAGAATCGGTACCGTTTTTTTCGATGCAGGTGCTGCCAAATTTTTTACTGAATTTTTAAGCAATCATGGATGTAAAAAAACGACTGGTAAGCCGATAAAACGAACACGTTATGGTCAAATTGAAATCAATGATAGCTCAAACAAAAATGAATTCGGAGTTGCACTAGGACCAGATTGGTCACAACAATTAAATTTGAAGGGAGTCAAGTCCCGTAAAAAAGTGAGAATCGAAACCAAAGTCGAAGTAGTTAATGTTTATAATAAAATCGAATCGATACCAGATAATATTTCGTCAAAAAAAGATCTAAATAAAAGTGAATCCTGGAATATTTATGTCGAACTTACAAATGGAAAAATATTTGGCTGTGATATGATAATCGTGGCTATTGGAGTCATACCTAATAGTGATGTTTTTGTTGATGATAATAATCACACGGGTTTACAATTAGACGCTGACAAAGGCATTTTGGTGGATCGAGAAATGCGTACGAATTTAAACGATATCTATGCAGCAGGTGATGTATGTTCGGTGAATTGGCCGCAATCACCACATTGGATTCAAATGCGTCTATGGACTCAGGCACGTCAGATGGGATTCTATGCTGCCAAATGTATTCAATGGCATTTAAATCAGACAAACAGTGATAATCCTAGTCTTTATTTTAATTTCGAAGTATTTGCCCATGTGACTCAATTTTTCGGATTCAGAGTGATATTGCTCGGTCTCTATGATGGACAAAAAATGGACACTAATGATTATAAAATTTTATGTCGAGTAATACCACGAGAAGCATATACCAAAGTCATACTTAAAGATGGCCGAATGAAAGGCTGCATTCTGATTGGAGATAGCAATCTCGAAGAGACTTTTGAATTTTTAATTTACAATCAAATTGATTTGACACGTTTTGGTGATCATCTTCTTGATGATCATTTAGATATTGAAGATTTTTTCGATTAAAAAAATTTAATAAATTTGAATCAATGAATCAGGTCTTTTTATCTCGGTAGATGGCATTGACCGTATCGTTAAAGCATATGATTTAATATTTATTATTATCATCGATTACAAATTCTTGATATTCATATTTGAAAATTAAAACATGGCATTCATACCATGTCGTAAACATATGAGCTATTGGCTTTCCAGATTCATTGAAAATCATACAATTTCTTCATCAACAAAGTTAATCAACGGAAACAACAGAATTGTCTTATTTTCTATTGGTGATCATTTTTCATCATCAACGAATGATTCAAAATCTCGAATTGCTACAATCAATTCGAAACGACGGAATGAGTTATCTAAGGATGTTAAGATAACCGAAAGAATAAAACAGACAACCAAAGATGGCATGAATATTACGGTCGTTGTGTTAGGTATCGGAATCTTTGGTTTTGTCATATATTCAATATTTAAGGAGTTTTTTTCATCCAAATCACCGACATCAATATTTGCTTGTGCGTTAAAGAAATGTAAAAATGATCCGAGAATAACTGAATTGCTTGGTGAACCTATCAAAGGTCATGGTGAAATAACGTCTCGTCGCCGTGCTCGTCATGTTACATCAGTGGAATATGAAAAAAATGGCCAAACATTTATACGTGTAAGATTTTATCTAAAAGGAAGCCGAAATACGGCCACTGTTGAATGTGAAACAACAAAAAATTCACCACGATCACATTTCCGTTATTTATTCGTGCAAACGGATTCATATCCTCCCGAAATGATAGTCATTGAAGATAATCGATTGTTGGATGATCAGCTATAATATTCATTTTTTTTGGATTGAATTTGATTAATAAAATAAATTAGTTTATTAGTTATAATGAGTTAAAACAAATTCAACGGATACAATTTTTAAACATGAATAAAATGTATAAAAATAAATTTTATTCGATGATGCAAATCATATCAGATCAAAATCCAAAGATCCATGTCCATTTGAATTTGATTTTCTAATTGATTTTTCTGTTGGGTCCTCATGTGATGAATGATTATGATGATGATGATGATGATAATGAGGATGATTAAAATTATTTTGACTCTGTTTTTTGTCGTCCATTAATTCTTGAATAATTTTGGCAAACTTATTTTTTAAAAAATTTAAATCTTGATCATGGCGATCTTTTAATGAATGAATGTGTTGTCGATATTTGTTAGTTTTCAATCTATACTGAGCGGTCTCTTCTTCTTTAGTAAGTAATTGTATTTTAAGTAGATCAAGTTCTGATTCGAATCGATCACGAATATCTTTTATTTCTTTTTCATAATTTATTCGTGATTTTGTCATTATTTTGTCATTTTCTATGAATTCGTTAGAATCTAGCAACGAATGTAATGATTTCTTTTTGTTATTTGTAGATAAAGATGGTGATGATATTGAGTGTACCGGGATGTTTACCAAGTGTCCATTATTTTCCATTTCGATTAAATCACTTCGGCTTGATGTACTTGAAACACTCGAATTACGCAAGCGGGCTTCGATGATGGCCTTTTCCAATTGTCGCTTGGCATCATCCATGCGATCAATCTGCGTTTGAATTTGTTGTTCACGATTGATTGAGAACGATTTCAATGAGCGATATAAATCAATCAATTTTTCAAATCGAATATCAAATTTCGGCACTGAAGATTCGATTAAATCTTTTTCTACATTGTCTTTGTTTTCAAACCAATCGACAATTTTGTCAATATCTTCTTGTAATTTTTGTTCCCATTCACTTTTCAGTTTACGCATAGATTCATCGAACGATCTCAACATGTTCGATTCGGTACGGTCTTTGGCACTTTGAATTTCTTGTTGCAACTTTGATTTGAATTGGGTTTCTAATTTTTTTAGTTTTTCTTGAAAATAATTAGCTTCTTGCTTATATTTAAGAAGAATATTACAGTTGGATATCAGTTCATCGTCTTTGGCTTGTATTGTTTGGTTTAATTTTTCGATTTTAGCGTCATAATCAGTACGAAGATTCATTAGCTCTTTATGATGTTTTAGTTTGAGCGTCTCAAACCATTTCATTTGTTCATCACTATTCAAATTTCGATGGTCACCTTTTTGCAACTCGTTCAATTGATATTCAAGCGAACTAACTTTTGATTCAAACATTGAAGCAAGTCGTCGTTGACTTTCATGTCCATCGCGTTCTTCTTTCAATTGTTTTTCCAGTTTTTGAATTTTCGCACGTTGTGAATCAATTAAGTTGGCATTTTCTTCGTTGAGTTGGTGAATCTTTTGATATTTACTCTGTAATAATCGATAATTTGTATTTATTTGAGCAAATTCTTGCTTTAACATACAAAGATCTTTGATGTGAACATCATTTAGAAATGGATCGTAATTATTGTGCAATGAGGTGGGTGATTGCCGTAAAATATATTCTTCATCTACATGGTTATTGTTGAAATGATGATCAGTCGAAAGTGATAAGTTATCACTATGGCTACCGTCGACATCATCATTATCAAGACTTTCTACATCTTGAATTGTGCATTCTTCTTCTTCGACAATATCGTTGAAATTATTTCTAAAATTATGTCTATTCAAAATACCATTGGTCATTGTTTGTTGATTTCGAGTAATCAAAGGAGTTGATGTATTTACATGAACATTTGATTGATCGTTACATTTTGATGATTGTTTTTTATCAAAACTGTTTCGGTTGTCCTTTTGATTACAATCAACAAATGTATCATTTTCGTCAAAATTGCTTGTATGTCGTATATCAGTTATATCATCGAATGCAGTAGATAATATACCTTCAATCTAATAATGATGAAAGAAATTAAAATCAAATGATAATTTATTCATTTATCTAAACCTGCCTCTTTTTGTTGATTGAAAAATTCATTCGGATCCAAATGATCAACATTATCAGTTTTAGACACAAGATTATTAATGATGGAATCTATACTAAAAGATGATGGCGTCCTTTGATGGTAATATTGGTCCATGATGTCGAAAGTTTCAATTTTGACATTTGTTATTGTTGTTATTGTTATTGATAAAAATGAGGACCACACTACCGCTACAATTGTTCAATGGTGGCCATGGTGAAAACAATACAATGTGCGAAATGGGAATAGGGTTCTTTTTTACGCGCTATAAATGCAAACACACACACACAAATACCAACAAGTGATTGAGTTTGCGCGCGACAATGTATACATATGTCTTATTCGCGGATTCTATTGTGACTTTTAATGGTCGACACCAATAACCTATTGCTATTCGTATACAAATGGTTTCGCTAATGATCTTTGCCCAAAATTCGAAAAAAAATCTGGTCATCACATGTCAAACATCCAGATGTTTAAAAACAAGGATAGAGATCATTTTACAAAATAGACATTAACAATCGGCTTTAAGCATAATTTATTTTAGAATGGTAATGAATTTTTTGTTCATCCATTTTATTCATGACTATTTAAATGTTGATAGATACAGTAAATGGTTCACTTTGTTAGTTAAAAATTATTGCTTCAATTAGCGATGGTTGGCATACAATCCTATACTATGTGAAATTTATCGATAAAAAATATATAACTTTTCTGAATTTTGAGAATTGTCTTTAACTTTGGTTAATGATAAACTTTAGTTCTCTTCAATAACTGAAGAAGCGCTGTATTTTACAAACAGCTTTGCCCCCTATCGTCTGTTATGACAAAATTCATTTTCGGATATAAGACGGGTACATTTCATTAAACATTTGTTTTTATTCGTGTGCTTTCTGTTTTCACATTTGTAAATTGAGAAAAGTAATTTTTTTAAGATCATGTCATCACTTGTTCGAGGTAAAATCATTGATTTAAATATGAATGGAATTATCTCACTCATTATTTATATTAAGGTGTTTTTATTGTTGGAGCTAAGCGGACGCCATTCGGCTCATTTGGTGGTAAACTTAAAGATGTTGGCTCAGTTGATTTGGGAAAAATCTCTGCACAAGCAGCTATTGCCCAATCAAAAATTGATCCAAAATTAATTGAATCCGTTACTGTTGGTAATATTATTCAAGCATCACAGACAAATGGTGGATATATTTCTCGACATATTGCCCTTGGTGTTGGTTGTGGTATCGAAGTTCCATGCTTGACCGTCAATCGTCTCTGTGGTTCTGGATTTCAGGCAGTAGTTAACTGCACACAAGATATCGTGTTAAGAGATGCTGAAATTTCGTTGGCAGTTGGCTCAGAAAGTATGAGCCAAGCTCCATTTGTCGTAAGTTTCCAAAGCAAGTTAAATATTAAACTATTGATTGACTTGACGATGGTCAGTTGCGAGAATCTAGATTTGGGGTCAAATTTAGCCAAACTCCTGTAATAGAATGTTCTCTATGGTCATCATTGACTGATACATATGCTAAAATACCTATGGCTATCACTGCAGAAAATCTTGCCGTTAAATACAATATTACCCGTGAAGATTGTGATAAATTTTCGGTGACAACCCAACAACGTTGGGCTGAAGCTTATAAAGCTGGTAAATTCAATGATGAAATTGTTGGCGTTCCCATCAAAGTCAAAGGCAAAGATGCCATGTTTGAGATGGATGAACATCCAAGACCTGATGCCACCATGGAACAGCTAGCTAAATTGAAACCCGTCTTTAAAAAAGATGGTGTAGTTACTGCAGGTAATGCTTCTGGTGTTAACGATGGTGCCGGTGCATTAGTTTTGGCCAGTGAAGATGCCGTGAAAAAGCATTCACTCTCTCCAATGGCTCGTGTTGTCGGTTATGCAAGCGTTGGTGTTGATCCAACAATTATGGGAATAGGTCCCGCACCTGCCATCCGAAAAGTGCTTCAAAACAATAATCTTACATTGGAACAGATTGACGTTATCGAAGTGAATGAAGCATTTGCTGCACAATTTTTGGCTGTAGCCAAAGATTTGGGATTGGATCTGAACAAAACAAATGTGAATGGTGGTGCTGTTGCTATTGGTCATCGTAAGTTTATAGTTTTAGATGCATTATATTTATTTGAATTTCTTTACTTTTTCTAGCATTGGCTGCATCTGGTGCCCGTATTTTGACTAATCTTGTTTACGAATTAAAACGACGTAATGGTAAATATGCTATCGGTTCAGCTTGTATCGGTGGCGGGCAAGGTATCGCCGTTTTAATCGAAAACATTAATTAATTAAAATGATCAATAAAAACAATAAATGAGTTGCTATTTTATTATCTTTCTTTTAAATAATAATTGTGTTGATAAATAATTTCAATCACGACACAAGGCTTTTCAAAAAAATCAATTGATTTTTAAGAATAATAAAATGTACAATAATAATCATTCAATAGTGCGCATTCATTTTTTTTTAGTTGATCGCTGTTTGGTCATGTGTATTTTTCATTGGTACCATGGTTGTTTTCGAATCCATACCATTCGAACACCACTATCGGTACGTATTTTAATCGATGCCGCTTCACAAGCTCGAACCGTCTCTTTTACCGACTGCATTAGATTTTGTGCATTTCCAACCAACATTTCTGTTGCTTCTTGATCTTCTTGTGATCCTAAGTTGAAAATTAATTTTGTTATTTGCAAGGAAAATATTTAAAAAAAGTGTAAACTACCTTGAGCTCCAAGTAATGTAGCTTTTACTGTTGATAATATTCTTAATTGTGTACCTATCGTAGGTATTCTTTCACATACTTGAAGAATATTCTATTCAAACAGAAATAAAATCTTTTATCATTCTAATGAGGAAAATTCAAATATATTACCGTTCTCATTCGTTTATCCGTACAAAGCTTGGCCTGATCTTTGGCTAAACGTGTTACTTCTTCTGACATTTCTGCAATTTGTTTGGCACAAGCAATTAAGTCTTTTTTAGTACCTTGTCCGCCACACAATGTACTCAATCGGGCCATATGAATGGCCATTTTTTTGGCAGCTGCAATAATTTCATTTTCTTTGCTTGACCATTGTCGTACTTCTTGATGAAGATCATGTGCAGCCATCTGAAAATAATTGTTTTGTTTTAGATACAATTTATTTGTTTTTTTTCAACAATAATTTACCATGATTGGTTGATTAGGCAGTAAAGTTGGGAACCGGTCATCATATTCATCATCTGTTTCGATCACCGGAGGTGGTCGAGGTGGTGCAATATTGTTCACCTGTGGTGGTGGTGGTCTTGGTGGAGCATTTGGATCTAAAATAAAAATAAATTTAGATTATTAAAAAAGAAGGAATTTTAAAATTTTTAGATTAATCAATAAAAAAAGGAAACAGAAATTGAAAAAAATGAGTAAACATTTATGTATAATTTTGTGTATGTTAATCAATTTGAATATGATTGAAGCGGATGCATAGATTTGATAACAATCTACCTGAACGAGAACCAGGAACATAATTTGGATAATGTTGATGATGATGTTGATGATGATCAATTATTTGCGGTGATGGCTGACTTATTGGATGCATTATTGGCGGTGGTGCCGCTTGTACTGGCATCATTCGAGGTACTTCAGGCATTGGTTGTCTTGGTTTTTCCGGTATAAAACCATCCAATGACGAGAAAATGTCTTTAAATTCATCATCGGAAATTGGTTTTGTTGTATTGTCAAACTTGTTAAATTGTTCATCTGTTTTTCATGTGTGTGTATGTGATTGTGTGTATTGAAATTTGAAAAACATACGGACAGAAAAAGAAACAAGGAAAAAAACGAAATACCGAATGAAAGAAAAGATGAAATTAAACATAGAAAGTTAGAAAAAGATGTTTTTTTTTCATTTATCAAACTAAATTATCCATATAAATCTAAGCATAAAAATAGAACAATACATTACCATCGATCGATAATTGACTCATTTGATCGGTTGGCATATCTGGTGTTAATGAGTTTTTCACATCAGATACACAGTTAATCAGCTAAAAAATAAATTGGTTTTATAGTTTTTTAAATTAAAACAATTTGAAACAAAATTAACATACATTTTTATTGGATTCTCTCCATCTACTGACAATATGTTGATCATGGATATTTAAGGCAACATTTTTAGCATCCTGTACCATACCGGTAATGGCTAAAAAAATGATATTTGAAAGATAAAAATGAAAACCTTATAAATTATAGTCATAGAATAACTTACATCGTTGTAAGTTTTCAGCCGATTGATTAACATTCGATATAAAAATATGATCTTCCGAATTATCAGCCTCTTGTTTAGCTACTCCTAGAACACGATTGGCCAAACGTGCAATGTTTGATGTATTTTCAACCATACCCTGCGGTTGTCGATTAGCAATTGAATTTTCGCATAATGTGGTATATTTTAATATTGCTTCCTCTAAAATTAGGTCAAAAATGAACCAAATGAATGAGAATCTTTAGAATGATATACATACCTGAAGCATTAACGAAACTAACACTATCGACTGCTTCATCCACCATATTCCTAAGTCGTTCCAAATTTTCTTGGTATTGTGATTTTAAATTTTCAAAATGTTCATCAGCAGATTTATTATCCGGATGTGTGAAACGAATTCTACCAGCGCTAATCAATTGTGGTGTAAGACTTTCTATTTGATTTGAATAATTCATTAGCCCTTCTGCTAAGCGTTTATTTTTAGCCAAACCCGAACCAACATTTCGTGCGGTGCTTGCAACTCGTTGCGAAAATTGACTTAGATTGTTTGCCTTTTCCTGAAAATTGTTATCGCGATTTGGTGTTCCTTTGGCCATATGAACAGCATCGGTGAATTGTTTCAACGGTGTAACAATATCGATAAAATCTTCAACCACTCGTGTAATCAATGCTTGTTCAATCATTTTGTTTAATTCACGAAGTTTTAGCTTAAGTTTACGTGCTAATTCTTGAGCTTGTGGTGTATGGCCAAGTCCACGACGACAAAGATCTTCCAGTTGTTTCTGAAGCATTTCAACCTGATTACAAAGATTGCAAAGATCTTCACGTTGCGCCGGATTACAACCCTGACCAATTTTGCGTCCATCCTGTACCAAGGCTTTGATTGCCTGTGATCCTATACCTTTATCATCGAAACTTAAATTGGATAACCATTTGGATGCCTGATCAACTCGACCCGAAACTGTATGTGCTGGACCTTGAATTCCACTTCGCTCTAAATTCTGTATGGCTTTGTTTACAAAATTGCTAAGATTTTTCAGCTGATTATTAATACTATGGCCAAGTGATTGTGCCTGAGGTGTGGCAATTTTCCCTTCATCTCTAAGCTCACATAAAGCATTAGTCATTGATTCAATGTCGTTAGCAGATTTTCGAATCGGATCCTTATCTTCGGGCAATACCAAATCGGAAATTCGTCGTGCATTTTCGATAATTGATCTTACCGACTTTTCACCAACACCTCCAGTCATCGCGGTAGGATCTTCCAGCCAATCATGTGCGGGAGCTAATTTGCTCAAAATAGCATTATAAGCTTTCTTCAAACGGGTGAGATCATCAGCCTCCCACTCATCTTCATCATATGTGGTTAGCTGAAGAACTCGTATAATTTCATTGATTTCATCTGTCATTCGATGTACAAGATAATTACGATTTTCCGCCGCTTCATGTACGGTTTTTCCTTGCGCAACCAATTGTACATATATTTTCATTGCACAAATCAATACCGGTGCCAATGTTTTGATCGATTCTAATGAACGGCTTAGCATTTCACGGTGTACTTGATGAGTCAATTCTTTTTCACGATAATCAACATCACGTGATACTTTTGTCAGACATGGACTTAGATCTTTAACAAATTGTACAAGATCTTCCATTGAATCGATCACTTCGGCAACGGCTAAATAATCGAGAACTTTTTTACATTCTCTAATGATTTTACGAACTTCTGATTCATCAAAACATGTAAGAAGCAATGATGTACCTTGTAGAATACCTCTTGAACCTTCGATCAATTTTTTTCTCGCTGATTGTGAAAATGGATCGATTTTTAACATTGCCGAAGCTTCTTCCAATAAATGAGATGCACGTTCAACACGTTGCAATGATGCGGGCATATCTTGTCGTAGTATCTGATCATCGCTTGAATTGATTGTATCTCTTCCTACCTAAATTGTTCATTAAACAAATACACACGGGCAACACATTTCGAATATTACGATAATAAACTTTGATATGATTATCTAATTAATTCATACCTTGACCAGATTTGCCACCGCTTTGCTAACGCCTTGAACTGGTCGTTCCAGATCTGGCATTGCATTTCCATCTTCAGCCTCTTCATGCAATATGACTAAACGTGAAACCTTGAAAAAAAATCGAATATAATATCTTACAAATTCTAACAAGTTGAATGTATGCTAAGTAAGGAATAAGCCTTGAATTTAGGCCATGACCAGATTACTGATTTGAAAATTGCAAAAAATTTCATTTTAAAAACAAAATTTTAAATATTTCTTCAGTTTAACAGTGCATCATGGAATAATTTTTAAATTTCTTCCAATTAATTTCAATATAAAAAAGACCTATTCTTTTTTGACTGTTTTTAGGTGATTTTTTTTTTAGTTTTAAATTCATCATCACATAAGAGTGATCTTTAGAATATATCGCTGCCAAATTTCTGAACATCATCATACACAAACAAAAATAATGTGAAAGAATGATTTTTTTTGCATATATTTTATTTTTTCTCGAATAAAAATAGAATCATGCTTATATTGTATGGAATAAAATATATGAAATTCTTCGTGTCAAACTCAAACACACACACACATACTAATGAACAATCAGAAGATTGAATGTTAATGCAATATTCAGTAAACAATAAATAAGATTGTTGTTCATTTTTTTTAAACGATTTAAAAAAATTCTTCATTGTGTATCACATACCTGTTGTGCAACTGGTTCCAAAATGCCAGCAATAGTTTTTGTATGAAATGTTGGCATTTTTATAAAACGTTCACCATTAACAATCAATTATTCAACAACAAAAAAAAATTTCAGATGACAAATAATTTTTAAAAAGATGATATCCTAACATATATAATGGAAGAACCTTATTGTTTAATTAGATAGAATAATTGATGCAAATTTGTAATTTTCACACTAAAAAAAATCACATATTAAAATTTTTATTATTATCGGATTTAATTTGAAAATTTTTGATTAGAAAATCTTTTTGAAGAATGGCGGTACACAAACATATGAATGTCTTGTTGATTGTTTGATGTCCTGATTGCTACTCGTACTATGGTGGATCACTATAGTACACAACTACGAAATACAAACACACTTATGAAAAAGACCAAATTTAACTAAGACCACGGTAACGATCATACGGTGCTGGAAGAATAAAAATACTCGTCATGACTACATAGACATTAGCTTGCAAACTAGCTAACTGACTGATACTTTCACTATCGGTAAACAGACTCTCGCTCTATCTTGTAGTTTGCCCATTCTTTTTGATGTAATCCTATTCTTTGCAATACTCACTGTCTATCATTAACTCACTGGTTGAATCAGACGATATGAGTCGTCGTTGTTGCTCATCATAATCATTAATGGTAATGATAACTGGCAAATGCAATTTTCGAACATCTTCGAATAATCATATAGTAGTGTATATAAATGGGTCCAATATATAATAGATGTGTCGACGTCTATGACATCGATGTTGCCGGTCGTATTTCGTCGTTGTTGTCATGGCGTCATACATCATACATTACCATCAGGATATATAGACAACTGTATTGTTGCATATGAATTACACATCTGTTTCAGTATTTCGTCTGTAATATAATTGGTAAATTTGTCGGACACGCCTGTAATCATCATCAACGTGATGATAATCATTTTTGTTTAAATAACAAAATCAAATGATTGCCATCGAATTGATTGTTGAATTTATTTAGTTTTTGTTTTCCATTATTAATCCGATCATCACTGTCAACAAATTTTCATCTAAAGGTCAATGTTATTCTTCTACAAATACTATTTCCGTTTCCGGTTGGTTATAAAAAAAACATTAAAGCTATAAATTAATACTAAAATTCAAAGGAAATGTTTTATCAAAACATTTTAGAATGTTTTTTTTTTGGTGAGGCTATTTAATTTGAGTAGATTTCTTCTGGCACCCAGCCATCGGTATAGAGATTTATCCATCAATCTCTTTTTTTTCTAGATCGTCTTTTGCCCAAAAATAAACTAAAATTATAGTTGAAAAACATGAAATTATGTTAGCGGAAATTTTTTTTCAACTTGGAATTTATATATATGATCGCAACAACAACAACAGTAATAACAAAATTTTGGTTTCGACAAACAAACAACAGCCACGAACGAATGAAAAACAAAAAACATCATAGCTTAATGACATTTAAATAGAGAACTTCATTCATTCTCATAAAAAAAATTCAAATTTCAAAATGTTCGGTATAATTCGATTCTGTATTCATTCATTTTTCTGACTAAAAATATCCTTGATAAACCATGTTACTTCGAATCAGCCATCTGATGATCATCACGATTTCTCCGTGTTTGTTGATTTTTTTTTTTGATTGGTAAACGTGGGCGTCCCATACCAACACATAAATGAATCAAAAGCAAATAAATAGAAATTGTCATTATCCATTTTTACACTTTATTTATGATGATGTTGATGATAATAATGATGGTTAGATTCAGGTTCCGGTGCCAAAAGATATTCTTAAAAAAATATTCTTGTCTATGTTATCGTTGTTAATTTAATTTGTTTAATCATTTTTGTTTCTCAGTATTTTATGATCTTTATTCATTATCATTATGTTGCTTGATTTTTCTCGAATATAACTCGAAAAATCAAATACAATGTTTATTTAGAATGACCATAGTATAGCTAAAAAAATGGAAATATATTCAAGATTTTTTTAAAATTATGAATAAAAACGATGAACAAATGATCAGTTTAAGTATTTCAATTGGGAAAAAATCGATAAAATATCTGAGGTAAAATACAAATAATCAATAAAGGAAGGAAATGTGTGTAATTCGATAAAAAACAATTGTGAGATAAAAAAAGCGAAAAATTGAATATATTAATCATAATTAACTGCAATGGTCGTCTTATTGATTTGATCTTTGTTGACCATCAAACTTTGTAAACTTCTTGATCGTTCTATATTTGGTGTCCGACCATTACAGATGTTCAGATTGCTATAGATTGAATCATTTGTCAATGAAGCTGATGGTGATGATGTTTGATAAGTACGTTGTAATTGATGATGTCCATACAGACCATTCAAAATTATAGGTTTCATCGGTGGAGATGTAACACATGACCGAGAATGACGTCGCATTTTAAATAATGATGACATCCGTTGCCATCCGTTAGACATCCATCCACCAACGCCATAATGTTCCATAGCGATTCGTTTATTTTTCTGAATAACAAAGAAAAGCAATATTATTTTTAGGATTATAGTGGGTGTAAAAAATAAAGCTTACTATTTCCTCATCATCATAGTGTGATTTCATCCATTTAGCCAACATACAATATGGTAATATAATGATAAATAAAACAAAGAACATTATTGTGAATATTAACAGAATAAAGTAGGCAGTTTTATCGATGCACATTTTATTGGTAGCAATGGCAGGAGACGGTATTGTTGGCTGTTCCATTGATGAAGGTCTTTGTAACATTTCTGGTTCGGGTATATCTTCCTGTGATAAATAAACTCGTAAAAGTTCATGAACTTCTTCTTCTTCCTGATTCGTTTGTTGTTGTTGGGAATTTTTGTTCGAAGATTTTTTTGGTTTAAGACGTTTTTGCAGTTGTTCAGCAGTTATATTTAGAATCGATCTTCGTTTACGTCCCCATGATGGAAAATCCATATAAGAATTCGAAACTACCCCACCTTTAACCGAGCTAGATCCACTCGATATTCCAGCTCCACCTCGACTTTTTTCTTTGCAGATGACAGGTTCGCATGGTCCTTTGCATGTGCGAACCGTTGCCTGGAATACAAGAAAATTTGAATCCGGTATTTTAAAAGCATAAAATTCAGCTTCTAATGCTCCATCCGGGGTTTTATGTAATTCTGGAAATACGTACAAATCAACTGGACAACTATAAAAAGCAAATTTTAATTACGGAAATTATACCATTCTACAGAAAATTTACCCTCTTGAGTCGATTAGTAAAACTTGTCGGCCAGTATATGGATCTTTGGCGATTACATTAGTAGCGAAAATGTCATTATAATAGCCATTAAATCGATCTACAAATATGAAAAGTTAATTGGCTAGTTATGATTCAAATTTGAGAACGAAACTTACATTGGTTACGAGCTTCCAAACGGAATGTTAACAAATCTCCGACAACAATTGTATTGGTCGGTGTTCCTCGGTAAAGTATCCGTAGAACAATGTTCGATGTTAGCACATTTTGTGCTGGCAAATGTTCGATTTGCATCGGATGTCGTCCATCTGTTTTCGTATCCAGATAATTCGATGTTACAACAGCTTCTCCCGGTCCGGAAATATAACAGGTTAGATTGTATTTCTTATCACGACTTGTTTGAACATAATCATTAAACTGTACAACAACAATATTGGTCATTGCATCCGGATTAATTTGTTGTGTGCCACAGCGAGGAAAGCCATTTGGCTTACTTATTTTTAATACACTGGTTGTACCGCCATTACCATCAAAAAAGCATGAATCGTAAAATCCATACGTGTAGATACGACCATAGAAACCATCAGGCGTTTTGAGTTTTAACTCCATCCCATCAGGTGAACAATTTTGTAGTACTTCGAAACAATCCAAACCATTACCGCTGGTATTAGGTTGATTTTCCTTTCGTTCATAATAATCAAATTGTGTATTATGTTCAAAATGATTAGAATCATCCAATTTGAATTTTTTTGTATCCACACTGCTCAATTCACAATTATCAGGAAAAAATGGTCGAAAATTGAATGATTTGCAAATAAAATCTTTGGTCTCCATACAATAACGTTCACATTCTTCAAGACGTTCTGCTCGTGCTACCTTATAAATGTGTTTACTTTTCAGACGAGAGCTTAGACCCATTTTTTGGAATGAGACTATAGGCATAGTTAGTTCAGAATCACAACCAGAACTAGTGATGCTATTTTGTCCTTTGATTGATCCTTTTGTTGAGCCAGGTGATAAATGTCCATAGCGATCATAATTTTTCTGTGCTGGAAAATTATAATGCTCACGATTAGAACTTGAAGAAATTCCAGGAACTGTCGGATTTTTATGAATATAAGGACTATGACCAGTATAAGGAATGTAGGAGGTGTAATTAGTGTAAGTGTTTGCAATGGGATGACCACCGGAAATGATACCATTATTCTGAATTCTCGGTATTGAATATCCATCATAGCTATGAGTTTGGAATGTTTGTCCTGGGTAATACATAGATATACGTTGTTTGAATTCATTGGGAGTCATCGTTGATTGATTGAAAGTAGCACTATTATCGATAGTTTGATGATCATATGTTGATTGTTGGTGTGATCGTGATGGAGGTGTTAAAGGAATTCTAGAACCAGTTCTATTCTGATGCAACAACCGTTGCTGTTGAATTGTATAGATCTCAGTATGGGTATTACTAGGTACTGAATAGATTTGCGATTGAACTGGCTGTTCATTATTTGGTTGGCTTGGATCATTATTTTTGAGTATTTCATCCGCGGGTAGTCGTCGTTGTTCGATATGGTATGTATAGGTAGGTGAAGGATATGCAATTTGATTTCGATACATATCAGTCGAAGATCGAACATCGTATCCTGGTTGAGATGAATGAATATTCCCACCATAAGTTGACAAAACTCGATAGCTTGATGCCCCATTTGATTGAAAAGGCAATTGAGATCTATCCGAACCAATCTGATTTAATGTAGGAGTTTTATAATCACTACTATGAGGATGTTGATGTATGTAAGTAGATGATGGATATATCTCGTTATAAATGGATGGTTGAATGTTGACATCAACAATGTTAGGATGATTTGGCATCGGTTGATTGGGAAATAATCGAGGATCAAATGGTATATGTGCTTTATCGTTGTTAGTATGTTTTGGGCTATATGTGGTCGATTCGAATTCTCGTTGCTGAGGGATATTAAACACTGGAAGATTATCAGTCGGTTTTGAAGTACCTGGATAAATTTGATTAGCTTGAATGCCATTCGATGGTGTTCGACTGTCATCAAATGTTCGAAAATCTGGCTGTGCCGATTGCTGATTGATTACATAATTGGGACCTAATTGAGGTTTATTAACATTAATGGTTGGATATCTTTGATTTGGCTTTATTAGATCATAATCTGGTTTGGCTGGCTCTGACATAGGATGAATATCATTTACACGATCATATCCATCGATTTCTGGTTGCTGTTTTTGCTCTATATTGAACGTGTACGTTGGAGTCGGATGTATTCGACCGTTTGTCTGTTGGGGCGATGTTGATGATGATGGCCGAACAAATCCTCCTCGATGATGATCACGATCTCGAGCACGATCGGCTGGTAGAATAAAATTTTTATAATTACCTGGCTGGGAATAGCTTGTTTCGATCGAATCCTGAACACCATTTGTTCCGTTATATGATTGATTGTTCAATTCATCACCTATGCGGAATAAAGCAAATAAAAATGAATTAAAAAAAAATTCAAATCAAGTCGAATCAAACAAATCGCCATAAAAAACATAGAGATTATCAAATAGCTGTCACTTACTCCATTTGAATTGATAATAATCAAATAGTTCATCATCAATGAGTGCATCACTATCTACAGGTGAGATAGGTCCAACTACTGATAGAGTACTAAAACGGCAGATCTGTTGTACAAATGAATATTCGATTGAACGACAATTGCGACCAAATTTGCTTAAACATCCCGTTAGGCAATCATAAAAATTTCGTGTATACATTTCCATCTGATGACGTCCGCGCAATCTTTTATGGCGATAACATTCAAGAGTCTTGTTATCTAATTCTTTATCTGATTTGTGAATGTTATTTGAAACAAATATTCGTAGATAATGAGAATTTGAAAATTGAAAACTTTATTTTCTATAGATTACCTTTATCATCGGCTGAACAAAGAACACGATAAAGATTTCCATTAGAAGTAATAAAATTCATTTCGGATTCAGTTGAATTGCCGGCCAGATTAGCAGGATCTTCATCATATAGAATACATTGTTCACTTGGTTCATCGAACATAAATGAACGACAAACAAAACCATATCTATCTAAACTTTCCAGACATGAAGTTGAACAATTGTTCATCGATGATGTTAGAATCGAATGTTTTTCAAATTTCGAATCTAATTGTTTTTGATTTTCGATGATCAATATACGCCATTTACACATTTCATTATCTGATGGGAATGAATATTACAAATATAGGTTGATTTATGAAAAATTGAGAAGATTTTTTGGTATGTAAAGATTAATTGATACTTACTTTTCAAACACATATTTTCCAAGTATTCATATTGAACATCCGATTGAAATTCCGATGAAGAAACATGTCTATTTGATGGATTCAGATGACATTTATTTGTTGTTGTCATGAAACTGGCCGATCTACAAGTAAAATCCCGTTCAATCAGACATTTATTTTCACATTCATTTCTATTTTGTACGATAATCTCTTTTCCATGTTTTTCATCAATCAATTTGAATGAAGATATCTTTTCAAATACAAACGGTCGATTGGGACAGTTTTTATTAATGTGTTGAGCTTTTGATAATAAGCAATAAGTGAAATAATTTTCAATCATTATTGTGAACAACTAAAATTCAAAATAGAAAGATTCTTACAGGAAAGACAGACTTTGTCAAATTGCCAGACGGAACCATGATTATTGGAAACATCATCCCAGTTGATTGTTCCATTAGCCTGATTATACAATACACAACTGGATTGATCATATTGAGCCAGAAATTTACCCTTTATTTCACCAACATTTTTCGGTGTTCGTTTCTATAGATTAAAAAAATGGAATTCAAAAAAAATAGCAGATGCCAAATAAGTCAATAAAAAAAACAATCGACACATACACGAACATTTGATTGTCTATCTTCCGTCATACGTTTGCCTGGAAGAAAATCAAAACGGCTACAGGTGCCAATTTTTTTCACACGATCTTCTAAACATTGATGAAAACATTCTTCCAAAACTTTTAATGGTGGTACATTTGTTCGTGTAATCTATGAATAGAAAAAATGAATCAAACACGAATAATTTCAGTGTTTAAGGATTTATGTCCAGAATCTTACAATTTCATATTGAGAATCATTAGAAAGTAATTCGCCTGGTGTGGATTGAAATGTTGAAACTTTTTCAAACACTATTTTACCTTCACCATTATTACAGATTTGGGCTATTTTGACACACATTGGTTACACATACACAGAAAAAACACAAGAAAAAAAAACAGAAACCAATAAAATTGAAAAAAAAGCAGATAAATATTGACGATTTTCAATCATACCTTCTGTTAAAATTCTTAAAGCAGCTAAAAATGAAACTAATGGAACCATTATTATTGTTGTTTTGTAATGCAATAATAATTTTGAAACATTTAAAAACATTTTATCACAAACAAACAAAAATGATCGATTGATGTAGAGTTTGTTACTGATGATGATGATTGAATCTTCAATGGGTTATTCATAATGATTGACAAAAAAAATTTATTTTTTTGGGGAAAATGCATTAATCAGACAACGATTCTAATGAATATAACAGAGAAAAAAAACAAATAGAAAAGACAATGTTATCAATCGTTTTGTATTAAGTTTTGTGCATGTATAACAAGCAACACGTTAAAAATCTAAAACACACACACACACAAACTCATTAACAAAACATAATACAAATGTACATAGGATATTCAAATTCATTCAAAGAATTCATAATAACTTAATGTGTCCAATATAGAAATGATAAACATTATCGATAATATATATGAAAGTGACCATCATTTACATTCACCAATCTGTTTAATAATGATTAAATGAATTGTAGTGTTAATGTTTATCCTCCCTATTTGAATTTATTCTTTTTTTAATAATTTTTTTAATGGTAAATTCTGTATATTTTTTTATACTCTTTTAAAGCAATTAGCATAAAATGATGGACAAAAATATCAAAATATATGATAATGAAGAATGGTCATCCATGCATAAATGAATCATTCTTTTGTTCGTTTTTAATATAAATCGAGATCAACCGAAACAACAAGAAAGAAGAAAAAAAAAATCATTTATACAGAATTAAAAAAAAGGGAATGGACAAAACCTGAATGTAGATAAACAATAGATAAATCTGTCGAATAACCTTAACCAGCAATATCAATGAAATAACGGCATAATTTGTCATTTGTGATGTTAGTGATATAAAATGTATGCGACTTTTTGTGATCAGTTCCGGTTTCTATCACAACAACAACAGCAACTTTGAAACATCCTTGGATGCGCCCAAATTTTCAATACGATTTTCATTATATGAGAGAATGTTATACGAATAACAATAACCAGTCATCCGACTATAGCTATGATGAGATGACCAACCAAATTGACAATAACAGTATGGCTGCTTTGTTATGAATAGTTTGTAATCGAATTACGAATGACATCAAAATGATGAACTGATTTAGATGGTAGTTTTTATCCATATTATAAATATTATCATGCATCAAATATCATAAATTATTATTTAAACATCATCATTATGGGCAAAGAACTATTATTCTTTTTCACTCAATGACAGTTTTTTTTGTTGTCATACATAAAGGTGATATCAGACTTGTTTTTTCCCCTACAAAACAGTAATGCTATTCATAAGCGTTTGTTTTATTCTTTTTTTTCTGTATACAAAATAGAATAATAACCCGATACAAAATTATGGAAAATGAAAATGGCCATGATATTTATTGATGGTTGAATAACAGTATAATTTAGCGAAAAAGCGCCATCAATCGTACAAATTGATTAACAATCAAAATAATAATTTGATTTTTTTTGTCACCATTATTCTTTAGTTAATTTTTTTTTGTATAAAATAAAAAATGAGTAGGCTACCACTCTTTTAATAATCTAAACAATAATACAATGATAATCGAACCGAAAAATATTGGTCATTTTTTCAAAACAATAATGAATACCTTCGAAAAAAAGATGAATTATACCGGAAATAATTTGATAAAATTTTCATTTTGAAAATATAATATTATATGATAATCAAAACATTGAACAATTATTATAAAGGTAATAGACGAAGAAATGTATATGTAGCCGACTATATTGTTTCTTTTTCCTTTTTTAAAAAAAAAAATTCCATGTCTGTAAAAAAAAGTTAATTACATTCTCCATATCCTTCAAAAAAGAAAAAGAAAAAAAGAAATGAATAATCATTTCAAAACACATTCATGATTTGTTTTGTTTTCATTTCATTTTATTTTAATATGCAAGGTCAAATCTGATAAATTCTATTATTAAAATCATATATTATCATATTGACAAACATAGAAATAATTATTTTTTATAAAAATGATGATATTCGATGGTTTTCAGTAAATTTTCGGGATACATTTCATTCAACAATAAATCTATTATCAGATATAATAATTGTTTATTTAATAATCGATACTGTAACAATGAAAAAATAATGAAAACAATTTCTTCATGTTTTTCATTATCAACAAATAATTCCAGTAACCATTTTGGTATGAAATTTTTCAATAATTTTAACACCAATTCGGATCGTTGATTCTTAGTTAGATTCATTGGAAAATTGATTTTTCTATAGTGATTATTGATGTAATCATTATTTCGATCATCATCATGATTAGATTCATCATATTTTAAAGATTCTTTTAAATGATCAATCATTGTGGCAATATTTATTGCAGTGAATGTTTGTTTTAATTTTTTTCGCAGTTGATAATGACAAAAACCTTGCAAAGTATGACGAAATATTGGCCGAAACAGAAAGAAAATAAATTTCAATCTATTCGATAATGAATAAAAACGTATCAGTATTGTTAGAATATAATCATATAGAAATTTGAATGAAACATGATGTTTATTGTCATAATGATTGTCATCATTATCGGTCAATACTATTTCTGGCCATTTAACAATAAAACTTTTTCGTCTTTTATTATTGATTTGATTATTGCTATTTTTTGAATTTTTTGTTTGTTGTTTTTTTGGACTTTGTTGTTGACCATTTGATGTGACTGGATCTTTTTCACATGAATTAATAAAATTTTTCAAAAATGAATACAAATGTTGCCCTTTTTCTTTCGAAAATTTTGACGGTACATTACGAATCATTTTGGTTAGATTAAAATTAACAGCAAATGTATCTTTGGGTGAATTTAAAAAATTATAAAATAATCGGCTACGTTTCATCGATTCATTTGATAAAAGTTGTTGCAAAAATTTTTCAAATTTTTCTCGATGTGTTTCTAACAATTGTTTAGTTATTCGAACAAATGTTCGACGTGGTGGCAAACTGATGGCGTCGATTTCTTCACCATGAAATTCTTTTAATTTTGATTCTAACGTATAAAATTCATTGAATTGTCTTTCATTGATCATCAATGTGGACGATTCATCTACATCGTTAGCAGAATGAAGTTTTTGTACATGAATTTCAAAATAATAATTTTCACGATTTGTTATATCATCGAAATGTACAGAAATATGAGGTATGGTCACACGCCAATTAGTTAAATCTTCTGAAAATGATTCTGTATCGTCATTGTCGTTGTTCATCTCATCGATTGATTCAAAATTATTGCCATGATAATGCATGTTTTGATTATCGATAACATTCTGTAGCATCATCGAACTATCGAATTCATTTTTTTTATTGGATAAATCAAGATGCTCGCTATTCGAATCAATGTTGAGATGTCCACAAATCAATTCCATGTATGATTCGGTCTGAAAAAATCTCTGTGCATTACGATCTAAAACATTATTAACAAATTCATATGCTTCATACAAAGATTTACAATTACGGAATTGATCCACATTTTCGTAACTATCTTCAATTACATTGTGAAATCCTTCATAAATTGTATCATCATCAAAGTCTATGAAATCTCGGCTCTCACGACGAAAATATAGATCATAAATTGATTTAAGATTTAAATGTAATTTTTTTAATTGATCTGAACGTAGCTCAGGATTTATGATCAAAGCCAAAAATGAATCCATATGCATAGAGAATTGCAGATAATTGAGAAAATTTTCTTCACGTGCAAATCTTGTGAATAAAAATAGCAAATGTTCATTTTGAAAAATTTGTTTCAATCGAACACCGAAAAGATTCTTTGGCATTTTCTCTCCAATATCATTAATTAGGATTTCACAATCACAATCATTACGGAATCGATGCAAAAAATGAATTTTAGAGTTAACAGTAGTCTTCATATTGACCTTCTCATGAACATAATTCTTATTTCTATCGTCGAGTAAATAAATGAAAATGATGTTTATTTTATCCGGATCACTTAATATATCAACTAGTGGATTAATAATGCAACATGCAATAAATTCATTTAAAAATGATTTTGATATGTCACATTGGATATATTTTGGTGGCAATGTTGTATGCATAATTAAATTGGCTATTGATTTAAAATATTTGAGCTCATTTTCATAGTTTATCACGGCAGGATGTACAATGGAACCGTATTGTTTGAGAACACATTCTTCAAGGAAATGAGCAGAACGTGCATTTCGTTTTCCATGAATATACATTTCCAAATGCTGTATTAAATGTCCTGGCAATTTATTCATTATGATTTCATCAAGATTGATATGATTTTTCACCCGTATTATCAAAGAAGATGCAACCAGGCGAATCAATTGCTTGAATTGAAGCAGAATCGAACGAGGATTGTATGAAATATTCATTAACCATGGTGATGTATATTTTTCCAATAAAAATTCAAATAAATCTTCTAGTTTTGTATTCAAATTTTCATCGATCAACAAATGTTTCCATGGTTGTTCATATATGAACAATCCTTGATCATGTTGATTACAATTTTTTTCACCACACTCAAGACAAATGTTCATTTCATCATTGGTTATACTTTTAGAGAAATAATTTTCATCAAGCCAATTTTCACAAAGATTTTCAACACAAGGTCGTTTCCAAAGACCGATTATCTCATTGTTAACATGGGCGAATATTTTTATCGAAACAAAGGCAAAAATAATGACTAGAGTATAGATGATCAATGACCAGATACCAAGCAGTGTTTGACTAAGATTCACCATTAATAATAGGATAAATAAATAAATAAACATGAAATCAGAGATGATCATTTTGTATGGTATAGCGAAATAACGAAAATATTAAACAAAAGTGATGTAATTATGATTACATTTTCTTTCTTTTTTAATTGTAGAAATGTTGACAATTTTAATGACAATAAATGAGCTTATTATTAAAAAGTTCCATCCCAAAATTGACGAATTGAATGATTATAAAACTATGAAAATTGATATTTGTCAAATTCGATTACATTCTTGATGAATGGCTCTTGATTCCGAGTTTGGTGTGCATCAATCTTTTCAAGCGTACAATTGTGTCAATTCTATTGGATTCCATATAAATAAACAATATTATTAATTTGTTTTTATCAATTGATTATATGTAATCTTGACCATGACTGGTGAAATCAGTATCATATATCCGCCTCCAGAAATTCGAAGTAAATATTATATCTAGAATTTAATTGAAGATTGATCAAATATTAATTATTCTGTTTTATTTTCAAAGATATTGTAGACAAAACCGCAAGTTTTGTTGCACGTAATGGACCTGAATTTGAGACTCGTATTCAACAGAGTGAACCTAATAACAGAAAATTCAATTTTCTTAAGCCTGGAGATCCATATAATGCATACTATCAGTTTAAAGTCAAAGAGTTTCGTGAAGCCGCTTCAAACAATGCTAGCGAAAATCAAAATATTCAAGAACAAGAATTAAAACAACAAGTAGATGCCGACTCAACATCTGAAACGGTTGCGGATTGTAACCAAAATGATCAATCAATTACAACAGTTTCATCAGTTATTAGCAAGTCTGCTGCTCCCAAAATAACTGATTCAAAAAAATTGGAAAATATAATGATTACACCGATAATACCTCGTGGTCCGCCTCCATCGTTTGAATTTTCCGATGATGCACCATCTATTTCTGCTTATGAGCTAGATATTGTAAAATTAACTGCTCAATTTGTTGCGATTCATGGTCGTTCATTTCTTAACACCTTAATGAACAAGGAAAGCCGCAATTATCAATTTGATTTTTTGCGTCCACAACATGGATTGTTCACTTATTTCACTCAATTGATTGAACAATATAGTAAAATATTAATGCCGGCAAAACAATTTCTGAATTCTTTGGAAAAAGAATCTGACGATCCCAAATTAGTTCTGGAAAAAATTCGATATCGAACCGAATGGACAAAAATAGTCGAAGCAGAAAAGCGTAAAGAAGAAGAAGAAGCCGAAAAAGAACGTATTCAATACGCACAAATCGATTGGCATGATTTTGTCATTGTTGAAACAGTTGACTATCAACAAAATGAATCGGGCAATTTTCCGCCTCCCACAACACCCGAACAAGTTGGTACCCGATTACTTATGCAACAAAGGATCGAAGCAAATGGAACGGAAACGGTTGAAATGGATGTTGATTCCGATGAAGAAAAGAATGATGGGGCAGAAAATAAAAATAATGAACCATTACCACCGTTGCCACCATCCTTGGACAATGTTCTCATCCGCAAAGATTATAATCCTAAAATGGCTAAATCACAACCAACACAAGCTGTTTCGACAAAGAAATTGCCTGATAATTATGTTATATCACCAATTACCGGGGAGAAAATTCCAGCTGATAAATTACAAGAACATATGCGTTATAGTTTGCTGGATCCGAGATGGGTTGCTGAACGCGATCGTACTATGCAGGAAAAGATTCAACAGGAAGAGGTTTATGCTGCTGGGTCTGCCATTGAAAGTTCATTGAAAAATTTGGCCGAACGTCGTACAGATATATTCGGTTCAGGGGATGAGGAAACATTAATCGGTCGAAAAATTGGCGAAGAAGAGCAACGAAAACATGAAAAAGTTACATGGGATGGTCATATGAATAGTATGGAAGCAACATCACGTGCCGCTCGTGCAAATATTTCAATTGAGGAACAAATTCAACATATTCATAAAGTCAAAGGATTACTTCCTGACGATGATAAAGATAAAATTGGCCCAAGTATGCCAACCACATCAACATCGACCAATCCAAACATGATTGTTAATACTGTACCAAATATGCCACCACCTCAACCGATTCGTCATCCTGTTACGGCTGGTTCACTTTTGATGACTCCAACTTCTACGACACCAATGATGCCACCAACACCTAGCGATTACGGTTTGATCACAGGAACATTACCAATGTATGCTACGCATACGATGCCAACATCGATGGCTTCACATATGGCACCTCCACCTGCAGGCTTGATTCCTCAACCTAATATTCCAGTACAACCACCACTGATTCCAAATGTTGGGGAATCAATCGAACCAGTATACAAGAAACAACGAACCGAAGATAATTTGATTCCGGAAGAAGAATTTTTGAAAACATGTTCATCTCCAAATATAACAATTAAAATACACCTACCAAAATCATCGGAAAAACCGGAATGGAAATTGAATGGTCAAGTTATCAATTTGACATTGCCATATACTGATTCGCTTTCAGTGGTCAAAGCGAAAATTCATGAACTAACCAATCTTCCTCCTGGAAAACAAAAACTTCAAACTGAAGGAATCTTTTTAAAAGATCAAAATTCAATGGCATTTTATAATCTACCCAATGGAGCATCTATTTTATTAGCATTAAAAGAACGTGGCGGACGCAAAAAATAAACGTAATAACTTTTTATTTTATACATTCATAAAGAATTGCTTCTCATAATTATTACAAATAAATCTAAAAGACAATCGACCGAGTTTCTTTTTTTCTGTATAATCGATCATTCTAATGTGAAGCATCTTCTTCCCATCCTTCGGGGAGAGGATTGGTGGATGGGTTGTGGAACAATGAATGATTACCATCACCCCATGGAAATCGTCGAGTACGAATGCGAAGATGCTCATAAGGAACGAATTCTGGACGATGATAATGGTGATAATGTTCCATTTCCAACAAATAAGTGTTGATACCTGCCAAAACGATAGCTGGACATGAAACGAAGAAGAAAACCTTTTTCCAGAAATCGGGATTCGGTGTATGGGCATGTTCACCATGTGTAGCCATGTTTCGTACATGGTTACGGATGATCATTTGATTAGCGCGAGCAATTCGAGAAAACATTTTTACTTGGATCAAATATTTGTCGCAATTAGAAAAGAAAATGAGCGATGTAAAAATATTTTGTTAATAACGTGTTGAAGTCCTTCTGTTGACTTTTATATTTGCTCGCTATTTTGGCACTTTTCATATAAAGCGTAAGTGTACTAATTATATGAGCATTATGATCAATATTCGAATATTTGTTGAGGATTTTATTTCAAACAAATCATCATCATTTTAAAATCATTTTTCAAAATCTATTTTTGTTTTTTATTTTTTTATTGTGCGAAATTCTAAGATTTATTTACAAATAAATTTGAATAAATATAAAATATCTTTTGAATGAAAATTTATTGCACATGACTGTTTCAAATAAAAAATGCCCTAGCATAATAATAATAATAATCTAAATTATATATTTACAACGGATTCTAACATTATATTGTTCTACATACGATTATTCTTCCACTACTTTGTCTATAAGACGTCACACTAATGCATAAATTCGAGAGAATAATAGTAATAGAAAAAGTTCTTTAAAAACGGCCATACAAATCCAAAAAAAAAATTAATGTAATGTTTTAAATAAAAATGAATTTAACATTATCATGGGACCAAAATTTTGATACTGTTTGAACTTTGATTTATCAACAAGATAGAGTTAGTTTTCGATTATCATCGAAGTTTCTGTACAACTTGACAACTATGCCTCGAACTTATTTTTCACTATTTTAAGATTTTAATCTAATCAAATATATTAGAACATATTCCAAAACTACTAGCAAGTATTATCAGTTTTGATAATTATGAGTTATTGCTAAAAAATTGATATTTGATCAGTTTGGTCTAATATATAATCTGCCACGTTTACGAATACTCATTTCATATGATATTTTTCAAGGATTTGCTGCTATTATATCAACAAAATTGATGGAAGAAACGTTACCGAAATTCAATGTACAAATTACCGAAGATCGACTACATGAAGGTGCACGCGAGTTGATCTCGAAAATTCGTCCCGAATGGCCATTAAATAAATTATCATTCAAAATTTTCACGGATGGTATTACGAATCGCTTAATCGGTGTTTACTTTGATCCACGAAACAAACATGATATGGTTTTGATTCGAATCTATGGAGAAAATACCGATCTATTCATAGATCGAAATACTGAATGTTGTAATATGAAAATCATGTACAAACATGGTTTATCCGCTCCAATTTATGGCACATTTCTAAACGGCATTTGTTACGGATATTCACCAGGAAAAGTTCTTGATGAAAATCTTGTCCGTGATTCGAATATTAGCCAATTGATTGCCGAGAAAATGGCACAAATGCATACGTTGAAACCATTGAAAACAACAACAAAAAACACTATTCAACAATCGCCCATACAAGCCAGCCTTTTTCGGGATATGAAAAAATTTGTCGCTCTTGTTGACAGTGCCTTGCCATTGAAACCTTCAGCTAATTTAAAGTAAGTTGAAGATATTTCAGAATATATTATCTTTTTAATTTTATTGTTTCTATTTTCATCAACAGATTAAAAAACTATTATGATATAGAAAATTTGAAAGCCGAAATTAATTACTTGGAACAAATTTTGATCCCTCTTTGTTCGCCCATAGTTTTTTGTCACAATGATTTATTGTTAAAAAATATTATTTTTAATGAATCGACTAACAACGTGACGTTTATTGATTTTGAATATTCTGATTACAATTATCAAGCTTTCGATATAGCCAACCATTTTTGTGAATTTTGCGGCGTAGATTCTTTCGATTGCAGCCTTTATCCTAATCAAGAATTTCAATTTCGTTGGCTTAAAATTTATCTTAAAAAATGGTATTCACTTACTAATGGGGAGATGGATGACAATCGATTAAATGATTCAATATTAGAACGAAATATTGAACCATTATATAATACAGTGAGTAAATTTGCCTTGGCTTCATGTCTTTATTGGGGACTATGGGCATTAGTTCAGGTGTCGAATTCTTCCATCGATTTTGATTATGAATCATTCGCCTTTCAACGTTTGAATGAATATTATAGACGAAAAAATCTGTCTGAACTTTGATCAATCACTTTTGTAGTAATATTGTTTTTTTACTTTTTTCTCATCTTTTTATTCATTGGATCGATTCCATTTATTGTTAACATATCTTATATTGTTTTAAAAGTTTGATTATTTCATTTCAAAAATTTATTTTACTAAAAATAAACTTTGCTGAAATTGTGATTATTTTTAAAGTTAAATATTTACGAATTAGTGGCGCCAGCCATCGTTAAAACAACGATGTATTTTAATTACGATACAATCGATATCTTGAACAATTGTACTCAGATTCTCTATTGGTAAAAAAAATGTTTTTAATCGGATTAACTGGTAGTATTGGAACTGGTAAATCGACCGTTTCTAAATATCTTTCTCAACAAAATATTCCAGTAATTGATTCTGATCAAATAGCGAGAGATGTTGTCAAACCATATTCCAAATGTTGGCATAGTATCCGTGAACATTTTGGTGAAGATGCTATCAATGAAACTGATGGCCAAATCAATCGTTCATATTTGGCTCGAGTAATTTTCAACAATCCAGATGAACGTCTAGTTTTGAATAAAATTACTCATCCGGAAATTCAAAAGCAAACATTTTTGAATGCATTATATTATTGGTTAACGTTTCGAAAGTTTGTTGTATTCGATATTCCATTGTTGTTCGAGTCCAAAATATATCAATCATGGATGAATTATATTGTTGTTGTTAAATGTGATCCATCTAAACAACTTCAACGAATCAAAGTTCGTAATGGTTATACCGATGAAGAGGCTTTATCACGTATCGAATCACAAATGTCGTTGGAAGAAAAATGTAAATTGGCAGATTTTGTGATAGACAACAATGGAACAATTGAACAAACTTTTCATCAAATTGACGAAATACTCCGGGAAATAAAACCACCTTCAACATTTTATATTCTTCGTCTGTTTCTTATCACTTTTTATGGATTGTCATCTTTTTCTTTAATAAAATTATTACAATATGCAATCTCAAAGTTATGATCAAATTTGTTTTATGAATAAATATGAAACGATTTCATTAAAAAAAAGATCATAATTTTTGTTCATTTTAGTTTGGTCAATCGATCTTCGAGTTGACGATATTTCATAGCTAACGCGCTGTAGATTTTGCATGCATCTGAAGATGGTTTTGCAGCCATATTGAAAGTTGTACGTAATTTTTTTACCATATCATCATATGACATGTTATTTTTTTCTTGAGAATATCTAGCCAACAATGCTGAACCTAATGCCCCTGAATTAGGAATCGAATGAGTAAATACGGGAGCATTAAAAACATCCGCCAAAACTTTGATAATGGAAAGATTTGTCGATGCACCACCTGTTGCCAGAATTCTAGTCCTGTTGTCTAATTTAAATCCTAAATTTTCAGCATGTATTTTTAATCTCAAGAATTGTCCTTCAATACAGGCACGGATTTCAATTTCTGGTGCAAATGAAAATACTTCATTGCCAAAGCAACTGTAACGAAAATCACCAGTTATCATAGGAGATATTTCCTGAAAATCAAAATAGAATCCTAGATTGCCAAAATTACCACGCGGAACGGAATCTAATAATTCATTGAATTTAGACCAATTGCCATTAGCGCAATTATCTCGAATTCTTTCCCTAGTTCTAGAACCATTCTTAAAAACGATCATTCCCATGTAAAGATTTTGATCGATAGGATTACAGAGAATATGTCCTTCGATAGATGGCTGCGGTGTTGAAAGTGTGAAGAAAATTGTATCACTTGTACCCAATGATACAGCTATGTCATTTGAACCTAAGCACATTCCGGCTAATGAGGCTGAATTATCACCAGTAAATGCTGTTATGTAACAATCTGGAATAAAGTCATAACGTTGTACAAAATAATCACTTATAGTTCCGATTATCTGAATGGAAGGAACTATTTCGTCTCCAAGTTTTTTGATTAAATCTTTTTCCTGATTCAAACTGACGGAACGTACACAATCGTTAGACCATTGTTTCCGTCGAATGTCAAGTAAATTCATTCCTGATCCATCGCTCAAGTCAATAGGAGCGTATTTACCAATGAATAATGATGCCAAAAATGAACTAACAAGTGAAATTCGTTCAGTCTGATTATAAGCATCGGTTCTTTGTTTGATAATCTTGGAAATTTGATTTCCTGTAAACCTTTCATATGCCCGTGAGCCAGTTAATTGAGCTAGATGATGGGCACCACCTAACGCTTTTTCCAATTCTTCACACTCAACTGTTGTACTTGAATCCATCCATATGGGTGATTCTTGAATGGTGAAACAATGATTTAGTTGTTCATGTAAAAATCGAGATGAATTCAAATTCATCAATATTTTTTCAGAACCATGTTTCCAATAGACACTTCCATGTTGTTGACCACAACCAGAAACTCCGATTACTTGTTTGAAATCAACAAGGCCATTTAAGCGAAGTCGATCGAATATTAAATCAATGGCTTTGATCCACATTAAAACAGGCGCAAAAGCCGTATGATCGTCTGGATTTGAATAAATCCCACCATTTGTGCGAAATTCTGGAAGATCCTTGTCAAAATGTACACAAGCTTCATGAACAACTATTAACTCTTCATTGATAGCTACCGATTTTAGCTGAAAAAAAGAAATAATGAGAAATAAAAAAAATTGAACCAAACTATGAAAATAACCTGTTGAGTGCTTAAATCAAATCCAAGCCATAATTTATTATTCGATTGTTTGACCGATTCCATAGAGTTGCAATTTGATTTTTGGCAAAAAATTTTTGATTAATTTGTTATTGAGAAAAAACAACAATGTGAGATATCAAAAAAAAAATAGGTTCATCCAAAACTCAACTTAAATTGATAAAAAGAAAAGTCAAACAACATACTGAGCGAATATCAGACAAACTTGTTGATAATAATAATCAAAACATGAAACAAATTTTATCGACGAAAAATTGTGATGATTTTCTATACACTATTTGTGTGAAACTTATTTTGATTGTTAGGATTTTCGACAAATCTTTAAAATTTAAAAAACAGGTTTCTCTTTTTTTATTAATTCAGTCGTTCACGATTAAGAATTGCAATGACAATGTGTTAGTTAATTGTTTGCATCCAACCAAACATGTATTGTCGAACTCATCTAGTGATCTATTTTTTCAAAAATTATTATATAGTGATAGAAAAATAACAATAATCGAGTCGAAATTAGATTCAAAATTCAAAAATTTAAAATAAAGCAACCGGAAACAGGATTGAAAATTTGGAAAAATTGTTATTTTCTTATTTATTGAATTTTTTCATTGAAATTGATGTGTGCAATCAGAAAATTGATTTTCAGACATTTGTGTTGTTGTTGATAGAATTGTTCGATTCAGTGATCTTTTTAGCCGTTTTGTTAAAGTGCTCGTATCGGGTAAATTGGATGATTTTGGCTGAACATTATATTTTGATTGTTGTACATTACCCGGCAATACGGTATTTTCGGCGGTATTTGTTATCACTGTATCAATTGTGGTCAAAATAGGTTGTTGGTTTTTCCAACCTTTGGAATAAGTGATTGATTCTGACAGTAATTTTGATAAAAACAAATCATTTTGTTCTTTATTCATTGTACAGAATCGATAGTGTGAAGGGTCATAAAAATGTTGGCCACGAGTTGCAAAAAGCTCATTGAAAAACCAAACATTATAGTCTACTTGTGTATCGTATATTTTTGGTTTGATAAAAGACTCGAAGAATAAAAAATCTTCTTGTTCTTCACTTATAAGTTGAATCGTACCTTTTGTTTCATGTTGAAAATTAGAAATAGGATATTGAGGCCTATTTTTCATATCAGATACTCTATTTTTGAATATTT